CCATAATTCTTCTCATTTTTAAGATTCTCCCCAATTTCCTTTCTAAAAAAGCCTATTGCTTGTATATGTTTGGAAATTCTTCCAGTTTTGTGGAATTGCACACATAAGAAATTTGAGAGGCCACACAGCATAAACAAGTAAAATATTTTTAGTAAGTGTTTTATTTTAATTGTTTCATTTTAACATATTTTTACTTATTACCTTTTCATTAATTTCCGAACCCCCTGGCGTTCCTACACAAACCCCAGTTTGAGAAAGTCTGACATGTTTAATGCACTTCACGTTGTTGATAACAAAGAGTGAAATTTGTTTTGTTTTTCTCTGCATTTTTATATGCTAATATGCTACAAGATTTTTCTATTCAAATCAATGTGACAAATGTTTCAAAAGTAATCAAAAAGTAATCAGATTTTATTACCTAAAATGTGCAACGTAATAGATGACGTTACTAACTACAATTTCCATCATGTAATTTGTATTCAGTAATGGATTACAGTCTGTAAATAATCTACCCAGCACGTGTAATGTATATAATACAGTTAAGAAAATGTTAAGAAAAAAAATACATACAAAACTTAATTATATATACTGTATGTGTGTGTGTATATATATATATAATTAAGTTTTGTATGTATTTTTTTTCTTAACATTTTTTATATTTCTAGTATATCACATATCGGTATATAATTTTTTTTTTTTTATAATTAACTTGAATGTTTTATATAAGGCTGCATTTATTTGATAAAAAATATAATAAAAAACTGTGAAATAACGGTTTTCTATTTTAATATATTTATAATTAGGTTTTTTTGGTTGTATTTTAAGCATTCTGTCCATTGGGTTTTAGTGGGTTTTACAGTTTTAAGACAAACCCTAATCAGAATGTTTGAAGAGTATCACAGAATCACCCCAAACTCGTGTCAAGCCTCTCTCTCTCTCTCTCTCTCTCTCTCTCTCTCTCTCTCTCTCTCTCTCTCTCTCTCTCTCTCTCTCTCTCTCTCTCTCTCTCTCTCTCTCTCTCTCTCTCTCTCTCTCTCTCTCTCTCTCTCTTTCTCTCTCTTTGAAGTGTCATGTTCTACAAAACAGTGCATCAGAGCAATCCTGACAGAGGTAGTTATATCAATGTGATATTTATCACCTCAGATAAAGAAGAAATTAGTGTGAGAATGAGGTCGTACATCACTACAGGTTAGATTAGATGTCAAAAGAAAAATCGATGACAAGACCATGTTTGCCTTCCTCAGACGCAGCAGAAAGTGACGAGAGGCAAAGTCGCCTCGGGTCGACAACGCGCAACACACATCACACTTTGCCTCAGGTCCGTATTCAGTACCACCGCAAAGACACAGAGTTGACACAATGTTGATTCGCAACATACATTTTTCGTACTTTGTTTGACTCAGTAACCTCATTTACACCTGCTTCAATGTAAGAATAATCCAAAATTTCATTCCAGCCCTCCTAGTGTGTGCATGGATCTTTCCTACAGTCTTTAGTGCAGATGTGACCCGTCTATCAGCCCTACTTGTGTGCGTCGGTGAAAGGGAACAGAACAGATGGGAATCCGATTGAAGAGATGAGATGCTCCTAATTACCTAATGAGCAAAGGGATCGGCTTGATTTGTCGCTTTAGCACTCTTGTTAGGTTAAGTGGAGGGAATCGACTAAGGAGCCATCTTGGCACAATCTATCCTGATCTTTTGCTCAAATGTTTGCAATACTGGAACTCAGAGGTGAAGTCTAGCGAAAAGACACGTTGTCTAAAATCAACAGTATGTTAGAGATCCTGATAAACTTCTATAATGAAACTATATCTATTTTTAGTCTTTTCTTCATTGTCATCATCTTTGGCTAAACATCTGTGGCTTTTTTTAATTTTTTATTTACTTTGTTCCAAACCTGTTTTTTTCTACCTTTCTCACAAAAGGAGACTTTTGCTCTTTCACTTTTTATACAAGTACAGTTTACCTTGACCACATCTGTTGTCAAAAATATCATAAAGCATCATAAAATTTATATTGGTATGCAAACTATATTTAAGTCGTATAAAAATATGTAATATAAAGCTGTATGAAGTTTCTTACATCATATTTGAAATACATATTTATTTAGAACCAAATTTTCTTTGAGAGAATTTGAAACAAATTATTAGTAAGAGTTCCAGTCAAAATGAGTTCAAATGATGTAACACAGACACTTACCTGTCCTGTACAGTGTCTGTTAACCTTCTCATTCAGATTAAATATGATTTATGCTAACAAACCATCCTTCGACATTCTGTTCTTGATTTTTAATGCAGCTTTTAATTAGACATATAACGAAGCATATGTTAATCCAGGCTATGTCCTGAATGTGTGTGTAACTGTAAGTACACACTGGTTGGAGAGTTTGCAGCCTCCGTCACAATGAAGAAGTGTGTGTCCGTTTAATCTGTGAGGTGTGCATTGCCCATCTCTCCGTGTGCGCCGTGTTTTCCTCATCAGTTCTGCCGTATATTGACCATGTTGCACATTATAAATCAAAGGCAGCGAGGTTCTCCTGCAAGTGGCTAATGAAAGCTCATTTTTAACGTCACTAAATGGTTCTGACAAAAAGTCTAATGAGGAAATCAATAATTCAGCGATTGTTGTCCTGCTTATACTAATAGATCCAGGTTGTTGGGGCTGGGATGCAGTGAAGAGGGGGCCATTTTTTATTGCACAGTTTCTGCACATCAGCGTGTTTTAAAAGGTTTTCTTCCCGCCGCGGACCCCTGATTGATAATCTGTTGTGGATTTGCGACTGATGCGAGGATTTTGGTCGGATTCAGTTTATGGGCATTTAAGAAGTGCTGTTGCCATTAATATAAATTGAATCCATTCTGTGTGAAATTTGGTGAAGAATACCTGTCACCTCCCTTTTAATTATAGAGGCACAGATTGATGTTAGAAAAATAATGCGTCTTATCTGTATTTATCTTTTATTGTACAATACCACAAATGTTTTTTTTTTAATACAAGTTTTCACAGCGATGCCATTGAAGAACCAAATTTGGTTCCCCAAAGAACCTTTTAATGATCAGTTCATAACTTAATTTTTTTGTCTTAATGTGTAGAACATTCAAATTATCTAAAGAAGCATTGCATTATCTTCATGCATTCCATCAATGCCTATAACAAACCTTTATTTTTAAGAGTGTACCATGCTAACAGTCCCCATGGATCTCTGCATGCTTGTTAGTCTCCTCCAAAAACAAAAGCATTTTTATTGCTTTCATGTCACTTACCTATTTTTTCCTATTTTTCCTTCAACTAGATCCCATTTTTATGCTTGGGATTGTGTAATTCTTTAAATCTCTAAATCCTTCGTGTTTTGCTCTTTTCTGTAGAAGGTTCAGGTGTGTGTGTGTGTGTGTGTGTGTGTGTGTGTGTGTGTCTCTCTGCTGGTAATGAAAACAGATGGTGGTTTGTTCTGGTGAGGTCACTGATCATGATCCTGGTCCCAGAGAGACTTTGTGTGGGGTGGGGGACAGGGGTCCAGCTCCACAACCCACTCTTAATTGAAGGGGCAGCTAGATTACCCTCTCTGAACCCTAGCTGGGCTCTGTGATGGTAGGGGTTTGCGCCATGTGCTTCAGTTCTTGAGTCGTCCTGGATCATTTTCATGCCAAGATGGGGACCAGGCAGTCATTGTGAATTACTTTAGGTGATGCATTATTGTAAATTCATTCATTTTGATTTGAACCTACAGTCTTGCAATTACTAGTATACTAGCTCTGATAATAAAATTCTGCCCGATACAGATAAACAGTTAATTATTTAACAGTCCGATAACTGATAAATGACTCATTTGACTGAAACAATTTTTTTAAAGTAAATTTAGTCATCACGTAAGGAATAATTGATGATGGCCGTTGAATTATTAGAAAAAATATGCACACCCGAGGTGGTAACAGTGTTCGGCTGCAGCATCTCTGCTAACAGCGAAACTGTAAGTTGATCTGCTCCAAGAACAGCGCTGTTATTACCTCGTGTGAAATGTCATGTAGCTTTTAAGTTGTTAAACTATTTTACAGATAAAATCATCAGAGCAGCGCTGACAACACGTTTCAGTGCGAGTATGTGTGTGCGTTTCTGCGTTTACAGTTTGAGTGTGTGAGAGAGAGAGTGGGAGAAAGAAAGTACATGCTTTTCCGTATATAATAAAACATAATTGTGTGGCTAAAACATTGAAATAATTTGTCATTTTTATCCTATTGTTTACTATATTTATTTGCTTGGTCAGTGTCGTTTTGGTTTTATTTGCTGTTGTAAGCTGTAAGGACATGTGAAATATTTGTAATAATTTGGCGAAGTGATATGGAACTGTAATGCGGTCAAGACCTGGCTGGAACTACTTTAGCCGTGCGTTTCCCTGAAAATAATTGCACACCTTAGAAAGTTCGCCAACCAATCAGATTCAAGCATTCAACAGCCCTGTAGTATAAAATAGTATAATGTACAGTATGAAAAATGTATATTCATTTGAAGATTTGCTAAAGATACCATTTACAGTATTATTAAATGATTAGGATTTTTAAAGAATAAAGGTATAAAAGTAATCACCTAGATGTTAAAATAGGGGAATTGTGCATGCAAAAAAACATTCAATTTTGGCTGATAACTATTATGGTACCAATATATCATGCATACCTAGTTACCAGCTCAGATATTTAACCACTACACTCGAAAGGGTTTTTTTTTCGCAGCAATGCCATAGTAGAAATATTTTGGGTTCCTCAAAGAACCTTTTGGTGAAAGGTTCTTAAAAGAAATATTTTTTCTTAATGCATTTAAAAAATATTAAAAAGAACCTTTTGTGCAAAGAAAAGGTTCCATGGATGTTAAAGGTTCTTCATGAAACCATAGATGCCAATAAATAACCGTTTCATTTTAAGACGCCACACCACTCACCTAATGATTGGTAATAATCTATAAAAAATACATTATCCATAAAAATCTGATACAACTTGTTGGTTTCAGGATGAAGAATAAGCTTTGGTACTTCGAGTTTGGCACCTCGGAAACCTTCTCAGCAACTTGCAAGAAGCTGCATGATTATCTTGAGGTGGAGGTAATGAGAATAAGTGAGAAACCACATGCCTTATCGCCTTTCTAACACTTAAACACCCCCTGCAAAACCACTGGAAAGAACTGTGGCGTATTGTTTTAATACAAGAAAAATACATTTTGCTAAAATGTTGTTTTTGTATTATAACAAAGAGCAATTTATTTTCAGTGTGCTTGTGCTAATACAACAGAATTAGATTTATTTATTCATTATTGATTGATCGATTCATTCACTGTATAATAATTGTAATTTAAATATATATACTGTACTGTACATAAACACACCTTGCAATTTTTTCCCATTTTTTTTTTGTAGTTTTGTAGTGTGATGGTATCACCCTGAACCTCAGCAACATCTCATTGGAGAGCATCGCCGTCCTGAATATTCCCAGCATGCACGGCGGTTCCAACCTATGGGGAGAGACCAAGAAACGGAGGGGTCACCGTAGAACAGGGAAGAAGTCTCCAGAAAAGAAGACCACAAACAACTAATTTTTGCTGTCCAAGGTATACAAACGCATACTCGCATATCACAAATCGTATTGTAGGCTACTAAGCAGGACAAAATTAATGAGATGTCGGGTTCTGATTCCCATGCAGTTTTTTAATTTTTCAATAATTTGTTTTATTTGTTTTATTTTTATTCGGGTCTAGTCAAAATTAGTTTGTGGTAATAGACATTATGCCAGAAATGCTGTGAATAGAGCTTAACTTAAATTGAACCTGGAACATTTCTTTAAGGGTCACCTTAACATTACTGGTTTGCAAAGTCCTTGTCTTCACACCCGATTAATCAAAGGCAACTTCAGAGAAACTTTTCTTTCATGATGAATATTTCACCAGTGACACATTGAATCATGGCGAGTGGCTTTTGTTTGGGTTGAAGGGGCGCAGTTTTAATGTCAGTGTTTGGGATTGTCAGTGGCTCTGTAATGGCTTGTGCTAGCGTTGGTGGACAGACCTGTCTAATCAAAGCAGAATCAAATATACCATGGTAAAGCCAGGCTGATTGGGGTTTCAATAACTGTACTTTCTAAAGGCTTACTGTCACATACGTCTGCTGTTGCCACTAGCTGTGCTCAAGGGTACTGAAATGACTCCCATTATATTTCATGCTAATTCTTGTTTTTCATACTACAAAGTTTGCATAATTTCAAGCTAGGTTGTGCAACTTTGGTTCTTTGTAGTCTCAGAATTATACGGTATGCCCTTGGACCGCCCACAGATGTTTAAGGCTTATTGTTATTGCACACATAACTAGAAAAGCAAATCTTACAAATCTGGCAAGCTCTAATCTGATTGGCTGGCTTTACATGACTTTCTAGAGTAAGAGTACTGAACACAGTTTGTTTTTGACAGTCCGCCTAAAATAATGAATAAATAAATGCCATAGTCCGCCAGGTTAATGCTATCAGATCTTTGAAAGATATTCAACATTTTGTTTGAGGTAGTAACAATTTAAGTATAAAAAGTTATAACGTGAGATATAAAGTCCCATTTGTGATATTTAAAGTTGCATTGTGAGATAAACACACAATGTGAGATAAAAAATCACATTTTGAGATTTAAAATCATAATGTGGATATAAAGTCATAATGCGAAATATAAAATCACATTTGTGAGATATAAAATCAAATTGTGAGATATAAAGTCATAATGTAAAATTTAAAGGGGTCCTATTTATGATTTTTCACTTCTTCAACTTTAGTTAGTGTGTGATGTTGCTGTTCGAGCGTAAAAAAGATCTGCAAGGTTACAAAGCTCAAAGTCCACTCCAAAGGGAGATATTTTATTTAACAAAATCTACGTTAACAAAAACGTTCTGTGAAATCCGTGCTTGCAAAGTCTGTGCATGAAATCCGTTCTGGACGGTCCTCTTGTTTGTTAACATTCTTAAGTCTGAATCCGGCTTTAATTGGTTTAAAATTGACGCCATCCTTAATATTTACATCTGAGTAGAGCTCGCAGTTATGGTATGAGGCGGGACATTTCCCGAACACAAGCGGTGCCGTGCCAATCACAACACACTGGGCTAGCTAACCAATCACAGCACATTTCGTATTTCAGAAGGAGGGGCTTCATCGAATCGGAACTAAATGGCGCATTCGGGACAGACTGGGGAGAGGTGCTATAATAATGTAAAATATGTGAAAATGAATGTGTTTTTTTAACAATCAAACATGAAAGCATGTTCTAGGCTAGTACACCACGAAAACAAAATCAAGACTTCTTCGTAAAAGGGCATAATAGGACCCCTTTAAAGTCACATTAAACTCCCATTTGTGAGATATAAAGTCAGATTGTTTAGATATAAAGTCACATTGTGAGACATGGTCATAATTTCAGACACAAAATGTGTGAGTGTATATATACAGTAGAGATCAAAATTAAAGAACAACATACAATTTCCTAAATTTCAAAGTTACTGCTTAGTCCTAGTTAGAGTTAACCTAACAGGAGCAGAAGGGCAGTTTTTTTTAGCATATTTCATAAGCTAAATATATTTAACTGCAGTATATAAAACTTAAACGAGACAATTAAAAAATAACTCTGGTTAAAATTAGAGAACTCTTTCAGATACCTCCAAGTTATTGGTGATAATGTGGCACCTGGTGCTAATTTCCTTAATTATCTGGCACACCCTATTTAACTGGCAGCAAACTTTACAATTTTAACTGACTTTGCAAGATGGCAAGGCGCTCTAAGGTGGCTGAAACCCTACGACACCAGGTTGTACAGATGAAGGCCAAAGGGATGACCCTTTCAGCTATTGCAACAGAAATTGTCTGTTCCAAATCTGTGATTTAAGCTTTAAAAAGACAGTCATTCATTCAAGTCCCCCAAAAAGGCTGGTCGTCCACGTAAGACAAATACACGAGAGGACAGGACGATGCGAGGACTTTCAATGGGGAATCGGTTCAGCTCTGAATCCAGTTCAGAGCTGAACACAGTAAGAATCTGTCTTGGCATACAGTGTCTCGTCGTTTAAGAGAATTCGGACTGAAAGCTCACTCTGCAGTGACCAAGCCTCTCATCAGCAGAAAGAATCAAAAGGCTAGACTAACCTTTGCGGAGGACAGATGTCGTGTGGACAGAGGAGAACTGGTCAAAAGTTCACTTTAGTGATGAAAGTAGGTTTAATTTATTTGGGTCAGATGGGAAACATTATGTTCGGCGTCAAACTGGGGAAAGATTGAACCCAAAGTGTGTAAAGAAGTTAGTCCGAGGTGGAGGAGGAAGTGTCATGGTTTGGGGGGTGTTTTCTGCAGCAGGAGTTGGGCCTACTATACAGCTACATGGCAGGGTGAATGCATATGTTTATCAGAACCTCCTTCGCCAACATGCGGTTCCTTCCCTGCAAGCATCTCCCAATCAGCCTGCAATTTTCATGCAAGACAATGCCCCGTCACACTGCAAAACGGGTAAAGCAGTTCCTTGAAGCTCAGAAAATTGAAATAATGAAATGGCCAGCCCAGAGTCCTGATCTAAACCTGATTGAAAATCTTAGGAAAATCCTTGGCGACAAAGTTATGGCTAAGAAACCCACTACAGTTACCGAACTGTGGAAGAGACTGGAAGAAGAGTGGACCAAGATCACACATTCTAGAATAGATGTCCTGTGGCCGCAGATGTGCTCAGGTCATTCAAAGCAAGGGCCTCTACACTTCCTGCTAAATTTTGACTGCTGTAAGCCTCAAATTTTAGTTGTAATGTTTTCTTTTTTGCTGCAATGGTTATTGTTCTCTAATTTTGCTGTGTTTTCCACAAAATAAAGTTTTTTTTTGTTGAAGTACCTTGGTTATTTTGTAAAAAATGCTAGTAGAACAATGGTATACCCACAGCGAATATTCCTTCAAACAATTTCTGAAAATAATCAAGTGTTTCTTAATTGTTCTCTAATTTTGATCTCTACTGTATATGCATATGAGTATAATATTAAAGGGGTCATGAACTGCATTGTTTTATGTGGTGCACTTGTGGTGATTTTTACATTTAAAAAAAATTCATAATTTAGAATAAAAGGTATTTTTCCTACCCTGATTCTAGCCCTCTGATTTGAACACCCTGTTTGAAGGGAAGTGTCTGCTGTGAGACTTCAGTGTAAACGCCCACTGCTGTGATTGGCTAACATTTTTTGTTTATGAAATAGCTAAGTATTACATGTTTAACTCTCTCAAAAACTTTTTGCACGTTTTTACTATTACAGGTCTCAAGGTTAACTGATTGTATAAAGTGTTGATTATAGCATTATATTTAGATTGTGGCATGAAAGTTTGCAGTGATGACCATTGTAGCCGATCATAGACATGTTGAGCACAAACTCGGTTTCTGCACTCTCACAAATGTTTTCATTTGAATTAACACTGTTACTTACATGCTGTTGCATTAACACTGTTACTTACATGCTGTCGCATTAACACTGTTACTTACATGTTGTCGCATTAACACTGTTATTTACATGCTGTCGCATTAACACTGTTATTTACATGTTGTCGCATTAACACTGTTACTTACATGCTGTCGCATTAACACTGTTACTTACAAGTTGTCGCATTAACACTGTTACTTACATGCTGTCGCATTAACACTGTTACTTACATGTTGTCGCATTAACACTGTTACTTACATGTTGTCGCATTAACACTGTTACTTACATGCTGTCGCATTAACACTGTTACTTACATGTTGTCGCATTAACACTGTTACTTACATGTTGTCGCATTAACACTGTTACTTACATGCTGTCGCATTAACACTGTTACTTACATGCTGTCGCATTAACACTGTTACTTACATGTTGTCGCATTAACACTGTTACTTACATGCTGTCGCATTAACACTGTTACTTACATGTTGTCGCATTAACACTGTTACTTACATGCTGTCGCATTAACACTGTTACTTACATGTTGTCGCATTAACACTGTTACTTACATGCTGTCGCATTAACACTGTTACTTACATGCTGTCGCATTAACACTGTTACTTACATGCTGTCGCATTAACACTGTTACTTACATGTTGTCGCATTAACACTGTTATTTACATGCTGTCGCATTAACACTGTTATTTACGTTGTCGCATTAACACTGTTGCTTACATGCTGTCGCATTAACACTGTTGCTTACATGTTGTCGCATTAACACTGTTATTTACATGTTGTCGCATTAACACTGTTACTTACATGTTGTTGCATTAACACTGTTATTTACATGTTGTCGCATTAACACTGTTGCTTACATGCTGTCGCATTAACACTGTTATTTACATGTTGTCGCATTAACACTGTTACTTACATGCTGTCGCATTAACACTGTTACTTACATGTTGTCGCATTAACACTGTTATTTACATGTTGTCGCATTAACACTGTTATTTACATGCTGTCGCATTAACACTGTTATTTACATGTTGTCGCATTAACACTGTTATTTACATGTTGTCGCATTAACACTGTTACTTACATGTTGTCGCATTAACACTGTTATTTACATGCTGTCGCATTAACACTGTTGCTTACATGCTGTCGCATTAACACTGTTATTTACATGTTGTCGCATTAACACTGTTACTTACATGTTGTCGCATTAACACTGTTACTTACATGCTGTCGCATTAACACTGTTACTTACATGTTGTCGCATTAACACTGTTACTTACATGTTGTCGCATTAACACTGTTACTTACATGCTGTCGCATTAACACTGTTACTTACATGCTGTCGCATTAACACTGTTACTTACATGTTGTCGCATTAACACTGTTACTTACATGCTGTCGCATTAACACTGTTACTTACATGTTGTCGCATTAACACTGTTACTTACATGCTGTCGCATTAACACTGTTACTTACATGTTGTCGCATTAACACTGTTACTTACATGTTGCCGCATTAACACTGTTGCTTACATGCTGTCGCATTAACACTGTTATTTACATGTTGTCGCATTAACACTGTTGCTTACATGCTGTCGCATTAACACTGTTACTTACATGTTGTCGCATTAACACTGTTACTTACATGCTGTCGCATTAACACTGTTACTTACATGTTGTCGCATTAACACTGTTACTTACATGCTGTCGCATTAACACTGTTACTTACATGCTGTCGCATTAACACTGTTATTTACATGCTGTCGCATTAACACTGTTACTTACATGCTGTCGCATTAACACTGTTACTTACATGTTGTCGCATTAACACTGTTACTTACATGCTGTCGCATTAACACTGTTACTTACATGCTGTCGCATTAACACTGTTACTTACATGTTGTCACATTAACACTGTTACTTACATGCTGTCGCATTAACACTTACTTACATGTTGTCGCATTAACACTGTTACTTACATGCTGTCGCATTAACACTGTTACTTACATGCTGTCGCATTAACACTGTTACTTACATGTTGTCGCATTAACACTGTTACTTACATGCTGTCGCATTAACACTTACTTACATGTTGTCGCATTAACACTGTTATTTACATGCTGTCGCATTAACACTGTTACTTACATGCTGTTGCATTAACACTGTTACTTACATGTTGTCGCATTAACACTGTTACTTACATGTTGTCGCATTAACACTGTTACTTACATGCTGTCGCATTAACTGTTACTTACATGTTGTCGCATTAACACTGTTACTTACATGTTGTCGCATTAACACTGTTACTTACATGCTGTCGCATTAACTGTTACTTACATGTTGTCGCATTAACACTGTTACTTACATGCTGTCGCATTAACTGTTACTTACATGTTGTCGCATTAACACTGTTACTTACATGCTGTCACATTAACTCACTGTTACTTACATGCTGTCGCATTAACACTTACTTACATGTTGTCGCATTAACACTGTTACTTACATGTTGTCGCATTAACACTGTTACTTACATGCTGTCGCATTAACTCACTGTTACTTACATGCTGTCACATTAACACTTACTTACATGTTGTCGCATTAACACTGTTACTTACATGTTGTCGCATTAACACTGTTACTTACATGTTGTCGCATTACAGTCAAGTCCATATCATAACTGTCTGTTTGCAAAGCCTGCACCGAAATTGCGACTGATTTACCAAAGAATCCACTGCGAAATGTACCGCTTACAAATAAATAATGCTCAACTGAGACATTGTTAAAAATGAATGTTGATTTTCTTCTGCAGAGGCGGTCTTTCACCTATCTATTACTTCATAAATAGACACGTTCCAGAACGAGTCGTTCGCTGGGCTTAGTAACAATAAAAGCTGTTTTTGGACTAACAAGGAAGTTTTCAGTTCTGAAACTTACAGGATATTCTTACAGTATGATGACCTCTTATATATCAAAAGCTCAAGGAAAGTTTGATTTCTCAGTTCATGACCCCTTTAAGTCACAATTACCTTTTTATCTTTTTATTACTCTGCGGCGGAAACGGGCTTCTGTAGTGCGCATACATTGTCGCACATACCCGTAAGTACATATTTAAGTAAATTCTGGTCTATTTTATCGCATAATGAACCCGCCTATACATTTAAAAACAAACCAAACTGTGGTTCATCACTTTACATGCCGGTCAGAGCAATTTACATTTTGGTGAATTGGCCAAATCCCGTCAAAGCACAAAGAACAATAAAGAGTTGTTTTTGAGATAAACACTTAGATGTTCCCTCCACGGAGGATCATCAAGGCAGAACGCTGTTCACTAATCTAGAAATGTGTACGCCGGTTGTCACCACGTTGGGGAAAATCATGTATCATGCCCGCTTTGAGAGCATTGATTGTAGTCTTACAGAATCTCTTTGGGCCGCTATCATGGGAACGTTTCGGATCACAAAGAGCAGAATGAAGGGTGAAACGTCTGAGCCTGTTTGAGTCTTACAATCACAGTATTTGATGTTCCCTGATGAGAAATCACCCATTTGAAAGAGATTGTCAGTTTGACTTTCTTGTTTACAGTGGTTAAAGTGTTTGCTTGCTTGGCCCAGCTGCTTTCTTTTCAGTCAATAGGGGTGAAAATGAAGTATAACCTCTAGTATGAGTATACTTATTCATGTTTTCAGTATATCAATATCTGTACATTTACACGCCTTAACTGCATAGTATCTCATTCGTTAAACTCTTTAATCTGTCCACCTCAGTTAAACCCCAAGTACCAATCCATTATCTCAGTTGTCGTTAGTCTGTGGCCGTCTTTCCAGTTCATCCAGCCCCTTGCACTCTTTAATTTCAGTCAATACGAGTCAGACGCTGATAAATGCACCCAATTTTATCATGCATGTTTGCTCTAATATCCTGCTGCATCCCTGCTGCATCTCTCAGTTGGGGTAAAGCAGTAACCAGAGCGCTTTGCAAATAAAACCGGCTTCCGAAAAAGAGACCAGGGAAGAAAAACCCTTTACACTCCATTCTATTCTATTTACTCTGGGAAAGAAAGATCAATTGATTGGGGAGAAGGCGACCGTGAGCCCAGGTTCGGACCAGAGAAGGCACTTAGCCCGGGCGCCTTGCTGGTGGTTTTGAAAGCCTTTGTAGATACGGCTTCATCTGAAGGAGCTCTGAAGGTGAGAGGCCTGTGCTTGTCAGATTAGTCGAGAGAGCATTAGCTGGATGGTAAACAGGGAGTGCATTAGCCACAGAGGCCCGGCTCTCAGATGGGGTAGAGTCTGACCTTTCGGGAGCAGTTGAGTGGCCCCGCTGGTGACGCTAGGAGACAGGCCTCCTCAGGTGGAAGGGAATGGAGGCGGGCTGAATTATTCAGCATGGACGTGGGCTGCACTGGGGCTACTGATGTCCCCTGACACACTGTGTGAAAGCCCCCCCAACCCCCTCCTGCGTACCTCAGCCCTCCCTGCGCCTGTCGCTCCATGTGCGTCATGAGCAACACTGGCTGTTCAATCACACAGAAGAAAAAAAACAGGTGACAAGAAAACACCATTATCAGGTGCACACGGCTTGTGTACGTGTGTGCATGTGCAAAAGAAAGAGAGGTTTGTGTTGAAACGTGAAGGAGATTTGACATTTTTCAGTGTTAAAATACATTTTCTTATTCCAGCTTAGCATGCAGAGACCTTTAGAAATTGATTTGAAAGTTGATTTTCTCCCTGAAAAGTGTAAACACTGTTCTGTGGCACTTTCAAAAATGTCTCTGTTTGTTTAAGCATCCCCTACAGCCTAGTATAGCAACATTGGCTCAATCAATGGTGTCACGTGTCAGTTTGGGGCGGAGCTATCTGTTTGATTGGCAGTTTGATTGGAGTGTTCAGGAAAACCATCCTTTTTGCAATTCCTTTTGGTAGTTCTAGTAGTCCTGAATTTTATTTGTAGATAAAGGGGTTAAGGTTGGGCCGGTTAACCCCTGCTGGTAGATGCCGTAACTACACCATTATGTGGGCAAAATTCTTCTTCAAAATCTTTCTGGCAGCCATTCAAAAATGCCATGTGAATTTTTATTTTTTAAATGTATTTTTTTAATGAGTATTAATTTTAATTTATTTATAATTTAATTTAATTCAAAGTTTGCATATTTTTTTAATAATGACATTTTTCACATTTTAACTTAATTTGTTATTTGATTAAAAATGTTTGTTTAATTTGAATATTAGTATAGCCTAAAGTTTTGTATGTTCCACCAGCTCTAAACAGCATGAAATTTCTGTTTATTACTACTTCTACTTTCTACTGCCTGGATCTTGAGCGATGCCATTTATGGCTCAGGTGATTGACAAAAAAACACTGTAACTGAGTGCCGATGAAGCAATTATACCAGCATGCAGAAACTTTATGAGCATCATTTCCCAGACGAAAATCACCTGTCATTGAAATGAATGGAAATGCTAACACTTTGTTTTAATATAACTTCTTGTGAAGTGTTTTCATCTGTGTTAATCTGTGTTAATAATCTGTTAAATTCTCATTTGAAATAGATGACAGTTCCCAGAGCATGTGAACGCTCTACCCAGTAGGTAGAGAGTGTTCTCCGCTCCCTCAGGCATTTAGAAATCCCCTCAGCCTGACTCTGACGGTGTCCTCTGTGTGAGCTCTCAGCCTCACGAGTCGGCAAGCCTGACCCTTTTAAAGAGCAGAGCCATAGTGGTCAAAGGACTGTGTACACTCATACAAACACACACACACTCAGTTCTTACTTCTCACACTCTTTCAAATCCCAGCAAGGCCTCGTTCACAGCCGGTCTCCTTGACAACAGCTGAACACAGGGTTGGTACAACAATCCAGGCATTTGTGTTACCCCATTAACCGTGGGGTCTCCCAGACGACTGGAACCAACACTGTTTTTTGTGTTTTGCTTTTGCATATTTAAGAAATATATCCCTGCATTGCCCTTAGGTACATGTAGAATAGGGGTTTGCACACAAGTGACATTTAGCTTAAATGTGTGAATGGACTTGTAGTGTAACTCATATTTATGTTCATAAAACAAATTATTCTGATCTTGTCTTCCGATTGGTCAATAGTGCTCCAGCCATCCCAAAATACATTTTGTTGTAACAGCTATGATGCAAAACACCTGCTCACCATATCACTTCCTTGCACCCATTGGGTATCTATATAGAATTGCATGTAAGATACAGAATTGATGCAATGTACAGAATATAATGAAGATATAAAAAAATCTATGTTAGATATGGAATAAAGGAGATTAGTAATGTATAAAAGGAATAGAATAGAATTAAAATGTAATATACAGAATAGAACAAATGTAAGAATAGATTAAAACATATTAGATAAAGATTTGTAATTTATGAAAGATATACAATTAAAATGTAAAATACAGAATATAATAACAATGTAAGATACAGAATAGCACAAATGTAAGAATAGAGTAGATAAAGATTAGTATTTTATGAAAGATATAGAATACAAAACTACAATTAAAATGTAAGACACAGAATAGAACAAATGTAATAATAGATTAGATTAATAGAGTAGAATAGAGTAGAGGATTAGTAATTTATGAAAGATATAGAATAGAATTAAAATGTAAAATACAGAATAGAATTAAAATGTAAGATACAAAATAGAACAAATGTAAGAATATACAGAATAAGATAAAACAAGCTATGGAATGGAATAGATGTAAGGAAATATAATATAATACTTGTGAGGAATAGAATAAAATAAGATATAAAATGTGTAAGCAATAGAATCAAATACATGTAAGAAAATAGATTAGATTTAAGAAATTGAACATGCTATCAAATATGTAACCATTAGAATTGAATAAATTTAAGAAACGCAATACGATAAGATCTAAAAGATGTAAACTACATAATTGAGTAAATATTAAACACAGAATAAATGTAAGGAGTAGAATTAGATCTAAAGAAAAATAATAGAAACAGAATAGAAATACAATAAATGTAAGGAATAGAATAAAATAAGATATAAAATGTGTAAGCTATAGAATATAATGGAATAAATCAAGGATATAGAATAGAATAGACATAAGATACATGTGCACATTAAGCCATAGTGCTTATGTGAGTAGTGAGAGTTTGAACCTGGCTCACACACATTCCCCCATCTCACTGATACCCTAAAAAGTGTCAAAAAGGTCCAAACTAAAATATAAATATAAAATGAATGATTGTATGCAACAGCCCTGACTGGACCTTGTGCTAGCGGTCAGAGCTTTGCCAGCTCTCAGTTCTGATTGTTTGTGTGTTTGACTGTTGCCTGTCTGTGGACTGAATGACACCGTGTGTGTTTGAGGAGGAGGAGAGGAAGACTCATAGGAGCTGTTACTGAACAGATGGTCCCAGCGCGACACTGGACCTCCGACCGAGGAAAAATCAATGCTCATAACTTCAAAACAAAAAAGAAATTAATAAATATGGAGGAACACTAGATTGCTTTGCATCAGTGTCGCATTCTAATTAATAGGTGTTTTGTTTGTGGGTTGTTGGTGTTTTTTCCCTCCCCTCCTTTTCTCCAACGGTGACAATTTATGCTTTTTTAGAGCGGAAGGCAGACTGTGAAGATTCCAAATCAAGCTTGTCTGCTTTTTTTCTCTCTTCTTCTCACACGCTCCCCCCTTTCTGCCCAAACACACCTCCACTGTCTGCTCCTCGTCTTCTCTTTTGGACTTTCTCCTCATAATCTTTTCCCCCTGACGTCCCCCCATGGGTCAGGCTTGGTAGAAAGCGGATGCTATAACAGACTAACACATTTTGACAAGGATATTGATATTGGTTTTGTGTTTTGGAGGGAGAGGACTGTCTGCATGGGTTCTTCGGTTTTGTGTTATTTCAAAATGATAATGCAGAATAATTCACTTTAGGTATTAGCACATACAGATTTTCGCCTTACATGTGCTATAAATTTACATTTAATCATTTAAAGTCCCCCTGTGGTGAAAATCAAGTTTTTTATGTGCTTTAAGACAAACCATGTGCAAATTCATTAGTCAACACCATTGCTGAGTATTTTCTCCTTAAAACTGCAGTGAAAAAAGACGGTTTCAAATCGCTGGTGTTTCTGACATCACAAACTACCTTGTAACCAATCACGTCAGCATGCCGGTGGGCTTTAGCATATCATTAACAGTGAACTAGCAGTGGAGTCTCAAGAGAAGCCAGATTATCCTGGTATATTTTTTAGTTGATATGAAAAATCTGGTAGATTTAGCAATATAGCGGGTGTATGATGTATATCACGTTGTTATGATCAACTATATACCTTTCTCCACTGACGTTCTGAGTTGTTCAAAGCGTTTCTGATTATTGTTAGAAGAATGCAGCTGCCTGACTCTGAGATGGCGAACGGGAACATGGTTTGTGTAACATTAGCAACACATTATTAACTGTTTGATAACATAGTCAAGCAAAAGGCTAATCATATTAATTACATTGTCCGACGTTGTAAAGAGCGATACCTTTGTGCTGCGTTTACCTCAGTAAGTTGGCAGAGTGAATCTCTGAGCTGGTGTGAGTGAGTGGAGGCGGGGCTAATTAGCATATTTATGATTCCGCATATACTAAATGAAGCAAGGGTGTAGAGTTATATTCAAGCTATTTTAAGCCATGAAAATAAGAATTCACAGAAAAAAAAACATTTAAATATGTCATTTTGACTACAGGGGGGCGTTAAAGGGATAGTTCACTTTGAAATAAATTTTGGTATGTTTAAGCTTACCTCAAGGGCATCCAAGATGTAGGTGTCTTTTTTTTCCGCAGTAGTTTCAATTTTGATATGTTTAGGTCAAACCGTTCTTGTCTGTCACTTCCTGCACAAGCGCCGGAAGTGATCTCTCTGAAAAAATTCAACGTTGTCTGTTGATATATCGAAATCGTCTTCCATTGCGATTTCCTTTTATATCTAAATATGTTTAGATCTTCACAGTGAAAGGTAACACTTCCGAAATCTCTGTGTAAACAATGAGTGACGTACACGCGCGAGAGATCACTTCCGGCGCTTGCGCAGACCGAAGCGCCCGCGCCCAATGATATAAATACTGTTCGTTTTCTCACACAAACCGCTCGATGTTTAATTTGGACTTCTCTGTGCATGCTCTTTGAGGTGGTGACCATAGACCTGCATTATATGACTGACAGACAAGAACGGTTTGACCTAAAAATATCAAAATTGAAACTACTGCGGACACAAAGACACCTACATCTTGGATGCCCTTGAGGTAAGCTAAAACATACCAAAAATTAATTTCAAAGTGAACTATCCCTTTAACAGATGCTTTTATTAAAAACAAGCAATTTATCATATAGGACACAACAATATTCACTATATTAATAAATTATTTAATTGTTTATGGTACATCCTGATACATCCATGATTCAATCCGACCAGCGTTAATCCAACCATTGAGCGGAGCGTTAAAGACGTACAGAAAAGATAATAAAACATGGTACAAGTAGGTTACTGCGGTCCCTAAAAACCCTTTCCCGTCTTCTCATAGCTCTCTCCATAACGTCGTCAGCAAACCACAAATTATAAGCCATTTTCCCTTATCTTTCGGCTGTTTGTAAAGTAGCTGATTGTTACTGCTGGTTGCCAAGGTAACAGAGTCTTAGACCTAAGTTAGCCTGGGGGTAAGGTGTCTAATTTTTTTGTAAAAAAAATAAAGAAATAAAAACGTGTAACATTATACAATTATTAAATAAATGCAGTTTTTTTCCTATTTTCTATACATTTTCTATTCTGGGGTAAAAATGCATCAAGGTTTCCCCAAAAACATTAAGCAGCACAACTGTTTTCAACATTGATAAAACTAAGAAATGTTTCTTGAGCATCAAATCATATTAGAATGATTTCTGAAGGATCATGTGACATTTTAAATTGTAATAATATTAAATTATTACTGTTTTTTATTGTCGTTTTGATCAAATAAATGCAGCCTTGGTTAGCAGAAGAGACTTCTTTGAAATACATTTAAAAATCTTACCGACTCCAAATGGTAGTGAATTATTTCATGAGACCATGTGAGATATTTGTGCGGAAGAAGTAGTGAAGGAAGAAAATATTTAATATGGTGCAAAAAGTTAAGCTAATTTATTGATGTTTACAGATATACTGTATATAAACAAAAATGAACAAAATAAAATGTTATATATCTTCATGTTTCTGTATTATATTACTATCTTCCATTGACAGAACCATTAAACCCCTCCCTATGCAAATAGATGGAGAGCCATGGATGCAAAGCCCATGCACTGTAAGTATTTAATGAAATGATATTTATTATATGCTTAAATGCACCTGATATTAGTCGTGTTCACATATAAATTTTTAATCGTGGGAATATTTTTTTTTGTCTGAGCCTTTTTCTTACATTCTTCCGAAACTGGCTTGAGTTGGTCAGTCTTAGATTTTCCTGATAGTTTGTGTAAAAACCACAGCAGCATCTTACAAGAAAGCTGATAATATGCTCCAGCCCAAAAAAAACAACCTCATTTGCAAGATTCAAAGCTTTGTTTGCCTTTAATTAAAGTTTCCCTTCTCTGAAAGCATCTTGTCTAAAGTGCAGTGTTCATTTACATATACTTCATTTTGTCGATGCCTGGAATCCAAAAAGCATGACAACACAATTAATTGGAAGGAGCACTTGTACCTGTAGATTAAAACTCTGGCTAAAGGTAGACAGCAACATAACTGTTATACTAGCAGGTGATCTCCATGGCAACCTATGGCTTCATTGATGCTTAATTAGTGTCAGTAAACGCAAGGAATGCTTTTGAGACACTACAGTCGATATTCAGGTGTTCCAACTTATCCTCAGCAAAAGTGATTATGCTAATCCATTTTTAGGTGGCGCTGCATTGTATTTGCTTGTGAGGGATTGTCTGTAAACCATTGGCAATCAGTGGGGAAAAAAATGATAATTATATAACACTGAAATTATATAAAGAGTAAAATTATTCTCTATTGCAAAATAAAGCAATACAAAATAAGGTGAAGTAATGTCTTCAGAAAGTAGTTTTTTGAGTATTTATATTTTTATGGAAAAAAATATATATATATATATATATAGATTCTATTTTTATATATTCTCTGTAATAAAATATAAATTATATATATTTTTCCATAAAAATATAAATACTCAAAAAACTACTTTCTGAAAATTTAAAGCGTTTTTTTTTCTTCACCTTATTTTGTATTGCATTATTTTGCAATAGAGAATAATTTTATTCTTTAGAGAATCAAGTATATTATTCATAAAACTTAGCTACAATCCTCACCTAATGGCACCTGATCTTATCTTGTCTTTCTAAATTGTTCCAGAGAGACACTAAAAAGGGCATGGTTCCAATAAATTTGCATTATATATGAACACTCTCGATTTCACCCCATACGTTAAAAAATGTCATGTTGACTCTACCTCTTAATTAAACTTAAATGTTCCAAAGGTTTTCTTATTGAGGTGTTCAGTACCATTTACCTTCTTATTGCCATTACTGTGTCTAAATACTTTCATGAACAAAGCACATGGGTGAACTCAAAGAGAAGAGCTTGATATTTACCATCACCTTTGATGTGGAATTATAATTGACACATAAATGGGGAATTGAGAATTCAGCTCCCAATTAAATGTGACGGGGACAGAGTTAATAAATAAGATTTTAATGACACTCACACACACTTCACATTCTAGTCCATTAGTTCACTGCCTGTTTTCAGAAATCAGTTGTGTCTTGGAGAGTCTTGGGCAAGTTGTGTGCCTATATTTGTGTATTTTGCATTTAACTATGTCATATCTTCCTCATCTGGTTGTCTTTATTAATTTATATCACATAAGCCTAAACATTGTGCATTGTATTTGTTCTCACAGATTAAAATTGTGCATGAGAATCAGGCCCGTATGCTGATGGGCCCTTCACAAAGCTCTGGCTGCTTCTCCGTCTTTCGACGCGACCGCAGAGAGAGCAAAGACTGACAGTCGACAACACCTGTGATCTAGCCTGACTTCGTCATACTCATATTCTAGTCAGAATGTGAGTCTGATACTGCTTCATAGGGCTTTGATTATGAGGCGTGTCTTAACCGAACCAGGAAAAAAAAAACCTCTGCACTCAATTGGATAGACCTACAACCAATGAGAGCAACGCAGTAAGTCAACTACTTTGCATAGCACAGTTGTCAACTACAGAACTCAAATGCACGCACGCTGGAAGAAGTAAAATAACGAGTGTTGCTTCTTTTACTTGGCCCTCTTGAGTGCGACCAAAGGAGAAACCACACAACGACCACAGGGTTTTCATTGCCCATCTTCTTAGTTACCATCGGAGCCAGCTGATAAATTAAACTTTTGCCGAATCCCGTAGGAAGGACGGCAAACACATCTTTCCGATCGACAAATGCCTTGATTGCAGTTCTATGTTCGTCTTTTAAAATGAATGCGCTGTCGATTTCTTTTACAACGGACGCGATAGCGGAATCTCTACATCTCAGTTCTCCAGCTGCAGTCATCTGTGAGGGAAACCAGTTCAACCCAAGCGCTCTTGATAACGTGAGGATTACGTCCCTGCAGATCATCTGTCCATCATCGTATAAAGCCCGCCCTGGCAATTTGATTGGCCCGACGATTTCTGAACCGATCATAATTACTCCTCAATGGAGCGAGTCCAGACCGAACTTCCCGGTCAAAAAATGTTGTGGGCGGGGTTTGGGCTGGCATCCAGGCTACCTGTGATCAACACTGCACCCTACACAAGATCATGTACAGTATATGGTGGGAACGTGCCAAATAAGAAGGTTGTATTTCAGCAGTGTGGAGATCTCTAGATTTCAGCTGATAATTTCAGCCACCAGTCTCAGCTGTTTGACTAAACTGCCATATTACAAGCCATGCACTGGGAAGCAAAGACCAACCCTTGGGCACAAATGTTTAAAGTGCAGTCAAAAGGCACAGGTCGTCGGATCACTGTTCTTCTCACATTACACGACTGTCTGGGGTACCATTTAGTTGCTGTTGTACATGACGGATCGATGACAGGGGGTCACATATTACACAACATTTCAATAGGAAGAATCGCCGACAGCTCTGTCTGGTCTACAAACTATGTTTCACAACCAAACTCACACAAGAAGTGATACATGAAATAATGTAAAATCACAAGTGAGACTGTATTTATTCTTGTTAAAAGAGAGCCAGCAAGAAGCTTGCGATCCAAGTTGTCTGTGCGCTGATTTGCAGCGAAAACGCCATGCTTGCTAATGTTTTGTCTATGACTCCTCCCCCTGAACTTTCCCTTGCCCCGTATCTTATGCTCTCATTGGCTGTAGGTCATCGCCAATGTAATTTCCAGTCAAAACACATTCCACACTGCATGACGGGCATCGGCACTTCTCTCAGATTGCTTCTTTGATAATACACACTATGCGACTGTCACTCACGTGAACAAGCACCTCTGCATCAGATTTCGTGCATTTGTCAGCGATTTCCACAAAACTGTCGGCGAGTAAAAATCGTATACAATCATGCAGTGTGTACCCGGCATTAGGCACTGCAGAAGCAAGTGTGTTAAGTCTTTTGGAGTCTGAGTCTAATGTGTGGAGTCAGACGGACTCATGAGCAGGAGCCATTTTTATTTTAGGTATGTTATTTAGAAAGTGTCAGTAGTTCTGGATTACTTGGTGCTAATGTGATGGCCAAAAGAAAAACAAAATACTGTTTTAACTTAAAACATGTGAGATGTGTTAGTCTAGTTGTAAATTTTCTATATGCTGTCGCATTCGAATCTTGAATCTGATTGGTTGACGAACGTTCTAAAGTGTGCAGTCATTTTCAGGGAAACGCACGGCTAAAGTAGTTCCAAGCAGGTCTTGACCGCATCACAGTTCTATATCATTCCGCCAAATAATTTCAGTCATTTCAAAGGTCCTTACAGCTTACAAATAGCAAATGACCAAGCCAAGCAAATAAATATAGGAGACAATAAAAACCAAATTATTTTCATGTTTTTTGTCACAAAATTACGCTTCATTAAATATGAAAAGCATATACTCTCTTTCTCCAGCTCTCTCTCGCACTCAAACGCACAGAAACTCTCACAGAAATGTGTTGTCAGCGCTGCTCTGACGATTTTATCAGTAAAATATTTACCAACTTAAAAGCTACATGACATTTTTCAATAGTCCGGTAATAACGGCGCTGTTTTTGAAGCAGTTGAACTTACAGTTTCACAAATAGTAGAGGTGCTACTGCCGAACACTGCTGAGAGACGCACAGACTTGGGTAATTTACACACATTTAATCTCTCTCTCTCTCTCTCTCTCTCTCTCTCTCTCTAACTGCATTAGTCTGCTATCAATGGCTCAAGCCTCCATTACTAGCTCTAAAATGACGTTTTGGAATTAGTACCAGAGGCTTGGGATTAGATGCGTAAGAAATTAGTCTTACACACAAGAGCGTTTTAAGGACAACTGTCTTGAAATACATCATATGAACAATGTTTTGAGGTGTGGTAACTGTAGTATAAGAGGAATAATTAACAACAGGCCATTGAATTATTGAAAAATAATGCACAACCTGAGGTGTAATGCCGGCTCCGCTTCGCCTCTATTATATTATATTATATTATATTATATTATATTATATTATATTATATTATATTACAAATCTAGATTAAAGCCTGTGTTTTTTCTATGGAAAAGAATTGGACCAAATTTAAATGTGAATAGGTGATTTCTGCCCCAGCATTTTTTTTAAAACCCTTTTCCTTCAATAATCATGCAACTTAATTATTTTTTTGTTTGTTTTTCAGAGATTGATATCTATTGGTTTAGGAGTTGCATTTAAAATTCACTTCAAAATACTTTTAAAAAATCCGGATGGTTCTGGTTACAAGTTTTCTAAAACACTACTTAAGTACTAAACACATTCAAGTCACTAGAGAAGGAAATCATTTCCAGAAGCATGAACACATGTGGTGTAGATAAACCTTCTTTATAATATGAAAGCACAAATGGTGGCTTTGGGTTTCTGTTAAACAATCCTCATCCGGAGTCAGTAATCGCCAAGCAGTGTTGAAGGCTTTTTTAAATGTGAATACCTGTCTGTGTTTCATTTTAAGCCTAAGCTGTTTGCTTTATGACCAAGAGTCAGATTGGAAGACTGTATTTTGTTTTATTTTGTCTTTACAAGACATGGTTGTCATGGTCACAAGGTGCTTTGCTCATGCATATTCATGTGTTGTGATGCACTGCTGCCAGAGCTAAAGCAAATGTGCGACTGCACCTTTCCTTTTCTTGCAAGATAGCAGCATGCAGTGATGTGAGACACTATTACACATCCTATAACTAAATTCTGAAGTTTCTGCCTGGTTTAGTTGGGGCTGCAGTTCATAATAAGTGCTTTGTGCAATAAACTGCATGTTGGATCGAGATATGATGTATGATAGATGTCATAATTAATAGACTTTATATTTATACTTTGGATATGGTGGATAGAGAGCATGGCCTATTATAACGTGTATACGATGCTAACACTGTAAAATAATCAATAATGTGCAGACAAATGCACATTGTAATGTGGGAAGAACAATGAAACCTTTTTGAACGATTTATATCAATATTGACGGTTAATTTTAATATTGATTATTACAAACAAAATCTGGTAAAATCTACCATTTTTGACATTTTGACCCTTTGAACCCCATTTCTAAAAGTTTGTAAAACCAGTGAAAGCAACATTTTTCATTATTTTTGTCAGTAAAAAATACATTATGCCAGATTGCTGTGGTAATTTGTCCGTTTGTAACTCTAACAAACACCAACTTTCACCCTTTGAACCTGTCAGCTTGCCGCAACCGCTCACCTCTTGACCTGACAACAAATAGATCCCTATGGTTGTAACCTTTTAATGTTAACCTGTCAAATGAACATCTGATTCTGTACCTGTCCTGCATTTCGTCAAGCTCACGGGATAATACATTGCGCCATGAATGACTTAAAATGTCAGTTAATGTTTCCATCAGTTCGCCATAATGGAAGTCCCTCTGTTGGTGTGCCAGTTCACCTGATCCTGCAAAAGTGACATGTTAGGTGTTTCTTAATCATTTGACAAGAACTGTGACACAAGGAACCACTGGACCGACACTTTTATTATGTGTTAAATATGCTGCATGCATGGATATAATGAACTTGATCTCAAAGGTCAGATAAAGTGTGAAAGCACATCTATAACCATAGGTGTTATGGGGGGGGGAAATCTCATCACTTGACCCCTGCATACCCTACATAGTTATCACAAACCACACATTTTCAGAACAGCATTTATCTGACATAGAAAGCTTTTGTAACATTATACACTGCCATTCAAAAGTTTGGGATCAGTACGATTTTTTTATGTTTTTGAAAGAGGTTTCTTATGCTCACCAAGACTGCATTTAATAGATCCAAAGTAAAGTAAAAACAGTAATATTGTGAAATATTACGATTTAAAATAACTGTTTTACATTTGAATATATGTTTGATTAATTTTCATCATTACTCGTCTTCAGTGTTGCATGATATGAATATATCAAATGCTGGCTATAATATCTCTTCCTGCACTTTTTTTATACAAAAAAACTATGATCTTTCTTGCTGTTATGATTATTGAGAATGAACATCGCTCGAGGAAATTTAAAGAAAGCAGGGTTACATTAACTGAACAAATATTAAGTGGGAGTGGAAAAATGGAAATGATAAAAATCAACTTACTACTCAGAAAGAACTGAGTGCATGTCGTGTCCGACTGTATTGTGATCTGTGTCTATATGACTCATTACATAGATCTTTGGAATACATTTATTTTGATTGATCAAGAATTTCTAAATTTGACTCTTTGTCTTGATCCACTCATCGGTTTTGTTTCACCATCATCTCTAAAGATAAGCATCAGGGTCCCGATCACCATGTTAGGGTTTATTTTGTGACAATGTATTTACTTATTTAATATTAATAATATATTTGTTTAATATACATTATATTGCTTATTTTTACTCCTTTTAAAGTTATCTCAGAGTCCCTTTAAAATTGTGCGAAGGCCCTCTAGGGGGCCACGGTCCCCTGGTTGAGAACCACTGCATTATATTATCAAAGAGAGCTTTACGAATAACAAAATGATTTGAATACTGTGGCCAATCTAAGCATATGCGTGTTTATTTCAGTCTTAGAAAGTTTTTTTTTAGCTTGTCAAAACTGTGAGCTCGTTTATAAGCATTGTACACGGGATACAGTGATTGTGTGCACTTTCATGCACATCATTTCCAAAACATCTAGCCACAAGAGAGATTATAATGATGTGATGTGTTTCTCATAAATAAACACCTTATAATTGCAATATCAGTTTTGCATATTTTAATGAAGGAACGGTGAAATAGGCTCTTGATTGACGCGTGTAAATCTGATCCGGCGGAGGACAGTGGCAGCCAATGGGAAGCGGGGCGCCGGCTGTTTCTGAAGGGAGGCCCCTGGAGCAGCGAGCGCGCGTTTACTTCAGCGCGGACGCGGAGGAGAGACACGAGAGCGCGCTTCTTCTCATACAGTCCGGCGACACATCCATCCATGAATGCATGCGGTGCATTTACTGGGGTGAGTGCAAGCTTTAAGTTCTCCATCACCGTCGACGTTTCAGTAAAACGTAACTAGAAACAGAAAAAAAGTGTTTCTTAAAGTCCAGTAGCCTACCTTTCGGAGGATCGGCTCGCCGCATTACGCACGCACAGCACCGCAACATATTTACCTTAGAACACTAGCAACTTTATCTATAAAGTGTCACGGATATGCTGCGTTTAATGTCTGTTTTATAATAGCCAGCATGTAGTCAGTCAAATAAAAGGTATATGGTTATGAATGGAGCTGCTGAATGCAGCAGTTCATGTTTCAACAAATCGCTAAAAAGTCACTCTTCTACTTTAAAGGGTGATCGGACCGCGCGCTGAAGAATGGACGGACTTTACGACCAACAAGTGCCTTTCATAAAGACTCATGTAAGTCTGATGAAGGTAAATTAGTGATCTCCATGATTGTAAATATATATCAGTCATTGAACTGATTGAATGACAAGAATCTGCGTTTGGACATGTCTTTACAGAAATATGACAAATGTGCGTGATTCTTCAGTTTACGGGAACTTTACGTCAGTTTACGTTGTCCTCTAGATCGATTCTGAAGATATTAACAATCACTGATAGTTTAAAACTTAAGATTATAATAGCTGTAAATCTTATATTAGTGTATTAAATTAGTCTCATGGCAGAATTTGTGTATGTTGTTGGGCTTTTAATTTCTCCTAACACATTTAAAATGTGTTAAATTCTGGGGAAATCTATTAGGCACTTTTTTCAGAAAAGCATATTTTCTGTTCATCTGGAATGTATGTAGAGTTTGCATTTAAAAAACAAAACAAAAAACAATGTAATCTACACTGTGAAAAAAGTTTCTGCCTTTAATTTTTAAGTACAATCAACTTGGATGAAGTCATTGCAACTTAAATTACATTACAGTGACTTAAAAAAATAAGTTGAAAGTTGTATTTTTTATAAAAAAGTTAAAAACTTATGAGTTAAAAACATGTTGCCATAACTTATTGATCATATATATTTTTTTACAGTGTACTTTCAGTCACAGCAGGCATTTTACAAAATAATTGAGTTATTCAAAAGGAAAAAATATTTGGTTATGATGTAAGGAAAAGTGACAGAGAAGCAAGTCTCTGCCAGAGTGACAGTGTGAAGATTACAAATGGGTCAGTATCTAACTTGTTGGGTTAGTCCAAGTCCAAGACTTATCCAACTTTTTAACTCAATAAAAACTTAAAATTGTCATTACCATTACAAATCATCCCCATCAAAATCAAAACTACGCTTGAGGTTTGATCGAGGCCATTACTCAAGAACATGATGAAAATGTTTTTTAAAGATTTCAACAGGTCAAAAGTCCCATTAACTGAAGAATCCTTCATATATTAAAAGTACGCCGCATGATGAATGAAGCTGAAGTTGTGTGTTATTTCAAAAGCGAGCTCAACACACTCCATCTTCAAATTGAGACAATTGATCTGTTGCTTTCTGCTTAGAATCCTCGGGGAAAGACGTCCAACACGAGACCAGCGAAGGACAGGAAAAGAAAATTCATTAACTCTGCCCTGGCGTTGGACACCGAGGGTAAGCACTCAGGTGTGGGTGAAAAAGACAATGTTCATTTCACGCCTTCTTAACATCTTGCAAAATGCAATATCGCTCGTTGCCACCTGCACTCAGGGCTTTAAAATCTCAATCAGCAGCGCTCGCCTCGCTCTTCAGAGGGCTTTGAGACTGGAATCGAGTGTCAAAACTCATAATTAAAGCTTTGTACCTGTTGTCTCACCGTCTCAAACTCTGCCGTCTTTGTTTTAGAGCTGTTTCAAGATCTCAGTCAACTTCAGGAGACCTGGCTCGCCGAAGGTAAGCTCTGGTCTATTTACTTCAGTCTCGCTGAAGGTTTCTCAGCTTTTGTTTCGAAGCTGAAGAAGAGGAGTGAGTTTGAGGGGGAGATTTGGGGGAGGGGTGCAAATATGCCTCAAGTTACAGACCTAATCTGCAGTCCAATTAATGCATCTGTAGCGAAGGCACTTGGTGTGTCATGCATACATTAGTGCTTGAGAAGAGCAGGAGTCTAAGGGGGAGACCGAGGAGGTTCTACTTTGAGTGTCATCACAAATTACCAGAAGAACTTGCAGTCTCGCTCACTCTCTTCTCCTCTCGTCCGCTTTTGGCAGGAGCTGAGGGAGACGAGCCACCAACCCTACCGCCTCTCTTTCTCTCCCTCGCTCTCTCTCTCTCTCTCTCCAACACGCGCGCACTCCTTCTCTCCCTCACTCGTTTTCTTTTTCTTATACCTCTCTTTCGCGTCTGATACTTCTCATATAGTGTTTTAAGTTCTGTTTCCTTTGTTTTTTAAACTCTTTTTGTTAAAGAAATGGATTGACGGTAGATCGCTTCCTGCGCTTCTGCTTTTACCGCTTCGGTTTTTTTCGCCCCTAACTTTTTTTTTTGGTTTCTTTTGGCAATTTTTTTTTTTCTCATGGCAAGACATGCTGGTTGTGGTTTAACACAAACGTGATGCTTCAGGAATTAAGCGCGAGTGTCTTCTTCCCATCTTGCTTGCAGCACCGACCTTTAGGTTAGTAAATGGTTCCCTGTTTGGTTGATTGTAGATGTGTTTGGAAATATTTTTATGTGATTAAAAAAAAAATCTAATAATGTTATTTTAAAAAATCTAAATGGCAAACTCGCAATTTTGATGTTAAAGGATTTTCTTGTCTTGAAAATGTCAAGACGGTAACACTTTACAAAAAGTATACATTTTTTAGTTAACTACTTTAGTTAAGATGAACTAACAATGAACAATACTTTGACATCATTGAGTAATCTTAGTTAATGTTATCTCAACATTTACTAATAAATTTTTAAGATTAAAGTTTTGTATTATCATTAGTTAGTGCACTGTGAACTAACATGAACGTGAATTTTTTTTATTAACTAACATTAACAAAGGTCAATAAATGCTGTAAAAATATGTTAATATTGTTAGTTCATGTTAGTCAATGCATTAACTAAAGTTAATAAATGAGACCTTATTGTAAAGTGTTACCGTTAAGACTTTTTTTGTGTGTGTGAAGTTTTACTCTAAACTGTGTGTATTTGTTGCTGCAAAATTTTGCAAATATAATAAAGTATATTTCTTTGGTTCTCTAAGCTTAATCTCAGACTGTAAAAAAGTGAACAATTTTGCTGGATTTTTAAGATTTCTAAAATGTTAAAGACATTTAGGAAAGCTACATTAATGCATGTACAAATTAATGTTGTCTCTAGTTAAAATAACTTTTTTAGTTTTTCTAAAAGAAAAAAATATTCATATTCAACTACACTGTGATAACTTTGTTGAAAATATAGTTGAAGTTGAAAATATAAGTCAAATCATAGTAGACATAACCTTTTGTCTGTTTATTGTAAAAAAAACACTTTGGTTGCAAATTGGGAAGGAAAAACAACAACAAAAGAAGTTGGACAGCTGAATATCATGCAAAGCAGTTTGTAAAACCGATTCCAGCGCTTTGCATTTGTGAAATCACGACTACCTTTCAGCCTATGGAATGCATTTGCGTGCGCTTTGGACAGGAAGATGAGTGTGTGTGTGTGTGTGTGTGGGTCTGTTTTCTGTTAGTGATCGCACTAAGTCTAGCTAGTGTGACTGAATTTGTTTAGCACAACAGGACGTTGTTGTGTCTATTGGTCACATTGAAAAGCCAAACATCTATAATATGAGGAAATGATCTGATCTAAATAGGATTTACCCACCTGCATAAGGAAAGAGAATCTCAATTTTTAATAGAGTGCTTTCTTTAATATATTTAAAAATGCTTGCAGTATAATCGTGGATTTTAAAATTAAAAGTACGCTTTATAACAGATTTTCGGACTTTACCGTCCTTGTCCCTGAGTTTGATTATGCCAAATCCACCCCAGGGCCTCTAAAAGAATAAGACATGACTTAAATATTTTAGTGTATCCGGCAGGGGGAAAAAAAAGTGGTCGCTGCAGTAGATATTACAGTGAGGAGTACAATTCAACCTGTCTTACATCCATCAGCCGCAGCGCCAAAAGATTCAAGATAAATCGCAGATAGATTTAATATATGACTTCCTGTCCATTAGAACCCAAACGAAGACCTAGCGGTTTCATTTCAGAGATTTATTAGCTCAGGTAATTGGAAAGAAGAGGAAGACGTATGAGCGACAGACAGTATTTCCGGCAGCGTAGTCTAAAGAGCTGATGGCTCGTCATTTGACATGCATGTGTCATTTTGGCCAGAGACAGGTGACAGTCACTTATTTCGTCTAAAACTTCAAAAAGACTGACTCAATGTGTCACATACCATTTAGCTTCTTAGTTTTACTAGTAGGTTTTGATCGCGATTTTTCGCGTAAAGTGTAACTTTCATCTTTTGCAGTGAGAAGTGATTATGAGTCTTTGCGTGTGTCTTTATGTGGCCTGGTGCTGCAGTTTGTCTCTTTTCTGCTCTTCACTTCTTCTTTTTTTTTTCTTTAACTGATGGACATGCTCCAACACCTTAGCTAGCCTCAGGAGTGGCGCTGGGATCAGCTGTCCCATTCACAGGTTGACTCATTCACCCTGCTGAGAATACTGGCTGCATCTCAGTCTTTCTCTGTCGCTCACCTTTTCTCTGGCTACTTTTCTGACTCTTAATGCACTCTGTGTTTCTTTCCTGCTCATTCTGATCTAGTAAGGGGATTGTTTAATATCTCTTTGGTTGTGTTTACACCAGTACCAGTGAGGGAGATGGCGGTGATAACTCTTGTTGAGTTTAACCAGTAAAAACGTCTGCTGCGGTTGAACTCGACTCGCTATTCCAAATACCCAAAACACTGGCAAGAACTATAAAGATATATTGGCCCTGATTGAGAAGAACTGTATAGCCTTGGGCATATGTTTTATAGTTTGTGGATTGAGTTATAGAAGAGACCATAAAATTCTGTTTTAACCATTATTGTTTATTGAGATACAGTTTATTGAGAGTTTATTACACTGCACAAAATTATATGATCAATAAGTTGACAACATATGTTTTTACATTGCTTTAACTCATCAAAATAAGTTAAGCAATTAAAAAAATCAATTCATTTTTAAAATCATTTTAATGTAATTTAAGTTGAAATGATTTATATTTTTAAGTACAATCAACTTGGATGGGGGATTTTTTTGGGGGAAAACTTCAAACAATAAAATACACTTGAAACATAAAACAATTCATGAAACAGCAAAAATATCAAATGTAAAAAAAAATTTAAAAAATAGCCTACAAATATTGTAATTAATACATTTTTAATTTATAACATTTAAAACATGTGACAAATTGCCCCTACCTGACATTTATGAAAATAATATTTTGTATTTATCAACTTTCCAGTTAAAATCTACCTTCATTGAGAGTTTAGACTTAAAAATAAGCCTTTTGTCTACTAGCCCCAGTCTCATTTATAACATTCAACACATTCTCATTAGATGTGAATGCATTACATTTTACACAGACATGAGGAAACACTCTAAAAGGTCCACAAAGAAAGCCGAAAAGCCAAGTAGCCGAGCAAGACTTGTTGCCTTACACAAAGCAAATGTTGATTTGCGCATGTTACGACTTGTTACTGTTGTTGTGAAAATGAAAATCCAATTTTAGCGCAGAGGAATAAACGTGCTAATAGCCCCGTGCAGCGAGGTCTCGCACACTCCTCTGCCGCCGTGCGCCTTTGTGTCGAGTTTAACAAGCAATAAACAACAGGTCTTTCTGACGCATCTAATATAAACATGAATGTGCTTAATTGAGATCCATATGAAGGCTTCATTATTTTAGCATTATATGAGAGAGGGGAAAGTAGGGGAACGTGCTCTGTTTGGACGGCAGCCGTCGCGGCAGGTACAGGTGCTTTCACCAGCGGGGATGTGTCCCAATTAGACAGTGTGAACAATAGGTGTTTTCTCACTGCATGGCTATCCTTATGAAGACACTGTGTAGTTGCAAAGCACAAGGCAAGGTGTTTTATTTGGTTGCCTGGTCTGATACACATATATCAGTGAATTCTGCTGCGAACGGCAGAGACAGATTTAGGATGTGTTTCACACACCTGCTTTGTCATTGAAATTAAATTACTGACATAATTAGAGGATATGTTTTCTCTGTTTTCAACCAATAAATGTCTTCATGGGTTGGTCTGAGAATTTCAAATCATTAGTGTTTCAATTACAGAGGATTATTAGAGGAAATTACTCATTTAAGCGATTGTTAGAGGACAGATTGTGTTAGCTCGACCAAATATGATAGTTACGAAGGAAATATCTGTTTATTTACCCTTTTCTCTCTTCTTTTTCCTCCCAGCTCAAGTTCCTGACAATGATGAGCAGTTTGTTCCTGACTTTCAGAGCGAAAACTGTAAGTGTGCATGACCTTTTTTCTTTTGCTATTGCTATTAAATGTATAAAACAATACCCACGTTTATATTATGTCTTGAGGGTTTATCAAAAACTCACACGGTAGAAAGGCCTGACTAAAATACCATTCTCAAATTTGATGATTTAGCGTGCAATTTTATTGTTACGTTAGCTCGTTTTGTCCCTTGTTTACGACATGTTGCCGTTCGCCGCTGTTGTTTCTGTGAATAAACAGAGAGAGATAGAGAGAGCGCGCGAACGGCGTGTGTTCTCTAGGTTGTGTACCTTCTCAGCGAGTGCAGCCAGAAGCAATAGGCCTTTAAATGGGCATAGGAAGTAAAGTTGGCGCGCAGTGGTCGTGGCAGAGCCGGTGCCAGTGTCGGAAGTGGCATGGACTGAATGAGGCACAGTGGGGAGCGAGTCCAGCTTATGTCTTAAAGAGGAGCCAAAACAGACTCTGCTACAGAGGATGTAGGGGAGAAGAAGGGGGGCTTTGTCTTTCTAGAGAACTCAAGCTCATTAGGCAAAGAAAATATACTAGTGTTTGCTGATAATGGGCTATTGTCCTGTATTCCTTCCTCAGTCTGAGCTAGACCTTATTGTGAGCGTAGACCATGACAAAGGTGCAGTTAAATGTCACAAAAGGAAGCCTTTATTGCATGACCTTGTTTTCTATATTTGAAAATAATTATTTATAAAACTATTTTTTTGTTGTATTTTAATAATTAATGTACAGCAACGATTATTCCATTCCAAAATGTATATTTGAGCAAGACTGTGTAAAGCGCAGGGTGTTAGTTGGCGTAGTCGGCAGGGTGGGGAGGAGAGGAGGGACGGGCAGATGGAGGTAGAGCGAGGGCATGGCGGTTGGGCTCGTGAACGGGCATCCTGGCCCTCCCATATGGGTCTGAGTCGGCAATGCCAGTGGATCACTTCCGTTTCATGGGGTCCATTCCCACAAAACACCCAGAAATTGGATATACAGGGATTACACAGGAAGAAAGAATACACCTCTTAAACTGCTGCGCAGTAGACATGTGGCCTGATGAAGTGATTGTTTGTCAAATTATTTGTATGATTTAATTATATATATAGTTTGGGGTCAGTACAATTTTTATTTTATTTTTTAAAAGAAATATTTAGCCAACAAGGATGCATTACATTGATCAAAAGTAACAGTAAACACTTTTTAATCTTACAAAAGATTTCTATTTCGAATAAGTTATTTTGAACTGAAAAAAACAGCACAAACGTTTTTTCAACAGTGATAATAATAAGAAATGTTTCTTGAGCATCACATCAGCATATTAGAATGATTTCTGTATGATCATGTGACACTGAAGACGAGTAATGATGCTGAAAATTCAGCTTTACCATCATAGGAATAAATTACATTTTAAAATATATTCAAATAGAAAACAGTTATATAAAATTCATCAATATTTCACAGTATTGCTGTTTTACTGCATTGTTGATCAAATAAATTAAAAGATTTCTTTTTTTAAAAACATTAAAAAATCAAACTGACCCCAAATTTTGGAATGGTGTTGTGTATATATATTAGAAAATGCATTTCTTTTATTTTAAATCCATCTGGAATTGTAAAGAGAAGGGCTGTTGTTACTGTAAAAAGATCAATTTAGTTTTTTTTTTTTAACTCTAACTATAATAGTGATTTGTGGCTGTGTAAGTGTGATCAAACAGTGATTATATTTGAGTTATTTGCCCTTTTGTAAAGGCCATCGTAATTCAAGCCCAGAGTGTTTAAGAAGAAGGTGTGACTGAATCTATTATCAGCGAGTAACAGTCAGCGAAGAGGTGAGAGTGAGAAAGAGAGAAGGGTGAGAAAACACACGACCATCAGCACAGAAAAAAAGTCAGTATGAAACTTAGAAACACTTGTTTTTTTTGTTTGTTTTTTTACCAAAATGCTCTTTTATGTAACAGGGTGCAGTGAAAATGGTGTTTGGTAGTGTAATGAATGGACTTTTGTGAAGAAAAGACGTTCTCCTAGTGCGTTCTGCTAAATTTAGCATTGAATCAGGCCCATCAGGCTATTCATTTATGAAAGTCAAATCTATTAGAGCGCAGCTTTATGGAAAAAAAAATAACTTTTTGCAGAATGGAACATGAATGTTTAGTTAACGTCATAAATATGGAAATAATTTCGGGATATTTTGCATAAGCTAAGATATGAGAAATGAATTTTTTGCTATACTCACCACGGCATCCTTTTAAGTGCTCTTTATTTGAGTCAAAGCTTTCTTTTCATTTTTTTTGAGGCAGTGTTACCCACTTCAGTTGACATTTGACATACTTAAGGGGTTTTAAATGTATCTCATAAATTGCAAGGATACAAAAAAAATGGCAGTAAATGTCATAAACGACTTCTTGAAAATGCTGTCCATTAACAACAATCAATGCATGTGTAATTGTTGAAATCCTGGAATGGCATCCTGCATGTATGTCGTCCTATGATGCTAACAGATTTTGTATTGATTCGATTACTCGTATTCCTTTGCGTAAAATCAATTATGGCATTTTTTTTCTTCGTCTGTCTACGTGCTTCTTAATATGGTCCGTCAAGAAGTCTTCCCAAGTATAAATTATTCATCTGTAGTGCTATTTTAGAATCCACTATCATGAACAAGGACACATCTTAACAAGGCCATTTAAAATTTCAGAAGACTGCCAAATAAATTAAAACTATGGTTTTTGACTTAAGACATTGATATTTTGGTAACACTTTACAATAAGGTATCATTTGTTAACATTAGTTAATACTGTACATTAACATGTACTAACAAACAATATATTTTTACAGCGTTTATTAACCTTTGATAATATTAGTTAATAAAAACGTTCATGTTAGTTCACACAATGTAAAAAAAAAAATGTGCTTCCTTAAATTTTTAAGTACAATCAACAAATAAGCTCATGCTTCTTCCTACTCCTTTTCGGACATGTATAAGTTAATATTGTTTTCATTGTTTTCTTTTATTGTTTTCCTTTTTAACATTTTTTTTTTTTTGCTTTCTGTTTTGATGAGCATTTGTTGTTATTAGGTTTTTGTTTTTGTCATTAAGTTTTTTTTTTATTTTGTTTCCTATACATGTTTGAAATAAATAAATAAATAAATAAACTTGAATGTTTAAGTAATTTCAACTTAAATTGCATTAAACTGACTTAAAAAATTGGATATAATTGTGATATTAAAAAATATATAATTTATGAAAAAGCTGAAATTTGCTTAACTTATTTGTATGAGTTAAAGCAATGTAAAAACTTGTTGTCATAACTTATTGATAATATAATTGTTTACAGTGCAGTGCCTTAGATACAATTTAGATCTTAAAAATGTATTAGTAAATGCAGATTCAAAGTATTATTTTGATTCAGATTGCCATTAGAAGTAAGCAAAAATGTCAAAATACATTACAATACTCCAAACCAAGTCTTGTCATTCCATTATACTTACTGAAATGTTCCTTTAATGTTATTTTTTTTAATTGAATATGGTTACTGAATTGGAGGCAGATTTGTATTAAAAAAGTATATTTTATTACAAAATTGCCTTGTTCATGGAAGCATTTGTTTTAGGTGTCTAGTGCAAGAAACCTTTGCTGAAAACAACTTTTACGCATGCAAATGCAAACAGAAATTGAATGATTTTTTGTTGTTGTTGTTGATTGTATACAGAAGGTAGATGTATGTTGTAAGGTCACCTCAACTTCATGTGCAGATGCCATGCGTGACTGCAGCACTTCTGCGTCCTCTGAGTAATTCTTATTGGAAATATGTTCACTGGTAATGCTGTGTTTAAACATCTGTGCGTTTCTGTCTTCCTCAGTGGCGTTCCACGGGCTGCAGTTGAGGATAAAGAGAGAGCCCCACAGTCCGTGTACTGATCTGGGCTCAGCCTGCAGTCAGGACAGGCCCTTCAGACTCCACTATGGGGAGAAGTGCCTGTATAACATCAGGTACATCAGTGCACAAATCAAATCTCACACAAAACCCCCCCAAAAACACAACCCACCCCCCCCACACACATCAAAATACTGGCAGTAATAAGACTTGCTAGACTGCAACGTCTAGAAAAATTTGTGAGAAACCATAAGTGTTTTTGCACTAAAGCAGTGAAAGTCAACTCTAAACTTTATACTTCCAGCTGTCGGGATAGACACTAGCATCCCATATTTTAGTTTGCAAATTCAACCTCAGCAGCTGGTGTGAGAGATTTAAGTGATAAATGGGCCTACATACATTTGCAATTCATACGATACCGTTTAACAAACTATTTTTAGCCATTATTTTGTATCAATTTAGGGTGTGCTATTTTCCTAATTACAGATGTTTTGTGAAAAAAAAAAAAAAAACTAATTTCTGAATGCAAATTTCAGACACTAAGGTGTTAAGGTGGGTGTGTATTTCACCTTTTATATGTGACTAAAGACGTTCATTTGACAGAGCATCTCTGAAGCAGATGGGGTCTTGGCATTGACTTTTCAGCCTGAGCCAAGAATAGTCTTAAAGATTTATGGGGAAAAATGCACAATAATGATAGTTTTCCTTTAGTTATTTACTCCGAGGCAACTGTACAGCAGGTGCTGTTCGAAATGACTTGAATGAGATCCACCTGAAATTGGAAAGGGGGAAAAACACACACACACAAAGAAAAACAAGAAATTACGCTACGGTGCATTAAGTGCAATAAATGGCTTTTCCACTTGGACAAGCGTCTACGGCAAACACGGTTGCTTGGTTACAGTCATCTTCCTATTGATTTGATTTTAAATTTATGACATTTCACTTGTATGTTTTATTTCGCTGGAGGAGCCAACCTGCCCTCATATTGCAAATGGCACTCAAGCTGAACCAACAACCTCTGTGATAATGATGTTCTTCAGAGGAGCTTTGGAGATTGTCAAGCCCCACAGAAGGCTGTTCCTTCCTTGCCTTTTAATGTTTCTGAATGGAGCGTAATTGCCTTACGGTTCATCAGATGATTCATCTTTGGTACCGTGTCGATTGTTTGATGTGAGGGTTGGCAGTTGGATGGATCGGAATAGACGTGGATCATTTAATTGTTTGATAATGAAACTTATTTGTACAGAGGTCATTTATACACTACTGTTCAAAATTCTGGGGTCAGAAAGACTTTTTTTTCTTTAAAGAAATTAATATTTTTATTGAGCAAAGACACATTCATTTGATTAAGATTGACAGTAAAGACATTTATAATGTGACAAAAGATTTATGTTTCTAATTAATGCTATTCGTCAAAGAATCCTGAAAGCAAAATGTTTCACGATTTCCTCAAAAAATGTAAGCAGCTCAACCGATTGATAATAATAATAAATGTTTCTTGAGCAGCAAATCAGCATATCAGAATGATTTCTGAAGGATCATGTGGATTAATTTATAGAGATTTTGAAATACCAGTTTAGCATGCATTATACAGTGTGCTGCAGACAAAAAGCTTTAGAGTTTATGTTTTTTTAATTTTTTTAATTTACCAGTAATAAAGTCTGGCGCAGTCTCATGATAATCTCTGTAGTCTGAAAGGCCCTCAGGAAAGACTAACTTAAACTGCTCTTGTTCCCTGGTGTCTCCAGTGCCTACGAGCAGAAGCATCCCTCGGGAATGAAGGCCTCCAGCCCAGTGTCTACCCCCTGCAGCACGCCCGTGTCTCCTGGCCAGCATGTGTCTCCCACTGCCGCCCCTACCCCCAAACCAGACAGGACGTACCCTCACCTCGCACCCCCACAGACCCTCCCTGACAGCGCTTACCCCATGGACCACAGGTACTGCCAGTTACCAAAACACTGCAGATAGATAGAACGTTAGACGGATAGGCAGACAGATAGACAGACAGGCATAGAGATAGATGATAGATAGATAGATAGATAGATAGATGATAGATAGATAGATAGATAGATAGATAGATAGATAGATAGATAGATAGATAGATAGATAGATAGATAGATAGATAGATAGATAGATAGATAGAACGTTAGACGGACGGACAGACAGACAGACAGACAGACATAGAGATAGATGATGGATGGATGGATAGATAGATAGATAGATAGATAGATAGATAGATAGATAGATAGATAGATAGATAGATAGATAGATAGATAGATAGATAGAACGTTAGACGGACGGACAGACAGACAGACAGACAGACATAGAGATAGATGATGGATGGATGGATAGATAGATAGATAGATAGATAGATAGATAGATAGATAGATAGATAGATAGATAGATAGATATAGACAGACAGACATAGAGATAGATGATAGATGGATAGATAGATATAGACAGACAGACAGACATAGAGATAGATAGATAGATAGATAGATAGATAGATAGATAGATAGATAGATAGATATAGACAGACAGACAGACATAGAGATAGATGATAGATAGATAGAGACAGACAGATAGATAGATATAGACAGACAGACAGAGATGGATAGATAGATAGATAGATAGATAGATAGATAGATAGATAGATAGATAGATAGATAGATAGATAGATAGATAGATAGACAGACAGACAGACAGGCATAGAGATAGATGATAGATAGATGATAGATAGATAGATAGATAGATAGATAGATAGATAGATAGATAGATAGATAGATAGATAGATAGATAGATAGATATAGACAGACAGACATAGAGATAGATGATAGATAGATAGATAGATAGATAGATAGATAGATAGATATAGACAGACAGACAGACATAGAGATAGATGATAGATAGATAGAGACAGACAGATAGATAGATAGATAGATAGATAGATAGATAGATAGATAGATATAGACAGACAGACAGAGATGGATAGATAGATAGATAGATAGATAGATAGATAGATAGATAGATAGATATAGACAGACAGACAGAGATAGATAGATAGATAGATAGATAGATAGATAGATAGATAGATAGATAGATAGATAGATAGATAGACAGACAGACAGACAGACAGACATAGAGATAGATGATAGATAGATAGATAGATAGATAGATAGATAGATAGATAGATAGAGACAGACAGACAGACATAGAGATAGATAGATAGAGACAGACAGATAGATAGATAGATAGATAGATAGATAGATAGATAGATAGATAGATAGATAGATAGATAGATAGATAGATAGATAGATAGATAGATATAGACAGACAGACAGAGATGGATAGATAGATAGATAGATAGATAGATAGATAGATAGATAGATAGATAGATAGACAGACAGACAGACAGACAGACAGACAGACAGACATAGAGATAGATGATAGATAGATAGATAGATAGATAGAGACAGATAGATAGATAGAGACAGACAGACTGACAGACAGATAATGTGTGAGACTTATTCTATTCAGTGTTTTGTTCAGATTTCGGCGGCAGTTGTCGGAGCCGTGTCATTCGTTCCCTTCTCCTTCGATGTCGCGGGACGGACGACCCATGTATCACAGACAGATGTCGGAACCCAGCATCCCCTTCCCTCCTCAGGGGTTCAAGCAGGAGTACGCCGACCCCCTCTTCGAGCATCCGGCCATGGTGGGGGCGCCTCTTCCCCAGACGTACCCGCACTCCATGATGATCAAACAAGAGCCCCGCGACTTCACCTACGACTCAGGTGAGTTACGTTTCTATGCATTCACATGTCTAATAACACCGACTGCATCGTCTATAATGTTTCCACAAAACTACTGTTTTCTACATTGATAAGAAATGTTTCTTAAGCGATAAGTGAGAATGTTTTCTGAAGGATCATGTGACACTGAAGACTGGAGTAATGATGCTGGAAATTCAGCTGTGCCATCACTGGAATAAATGACATTTTAACATATATTAAAATAGAAAATAGTTATTTTAAGTTGTAAAAATATTACACAATATTTGAAGAGCAGTGTAAATAATTAAACAGAAAAATAGATTAATAAAATAGAAAAAAGTTTAATGTCGAAAAGAAAACTTTTTTAATGTTTAAAGCATGATTTGTAGGGGATGAAAACGGTATTTACTTCACTAACCTAAGAGGAAATAGTCTGAGGATTTTGTTTCTTTTGTTTTCTTTGGGGCACAGATACAGCCAGATAGCAACTTTATTAGGTATGGGGAGATTGATAGAATTAGCCTATTATTGGGTCTGATCTCATTTCCTGAGGGCCTGGCTGGAAAGGAGAGGGGCCCCTAATCTCTCCCCCAGGGGCCCTCAGGCTGTCGGCCCAGCTCTGCCATGAATGAAGAGGCTTTTGGTTTTCATTCATAAAAAATGGAGTTGGACTGCAGCAGCCTGTCAGGAGAGAAAACAGCGCTGCTTCCTGTGGATTATGTGTATCTTTAGAACGTAACCTGGGGATAATAGCAATAATACTCTGGCCTTTTCTCTTTACTTTGTCAAAGCAACAAATTCGAATTCATTGTTTATTAAAAAAAATTGCATTTACTCTGACAGTTCCTAAATAATTGCTAAATTCCTAAAACATTAAGTATGTTGTATGTTTACATTATCATCTAATATATTATCTAATAATTATCTATAAATTAGACACACTAAAAGCTAACAAATGAAGCGATGAAAGCTTCATGAGTGTGAGTGATTGGTCTGCATTGCTTCTTTACATCAGTGGAGGAGATCATCGACATGTTTTGCATCTCCTCCCAGTCATTTAGAGGAATTTATCCTGCCTCATAAAGGAGCTTGTTTGTTGTGAGCTGTCTGTGTAAGGACTGGACAGTCAGCGGCTAATTTAATCAGCGGTAATTTCCTCGACAGGCCCATTACTTGAATGAAACCCTAAGAGATCTTTATAGGTCCAAATGAACAGGGTTAGATGTTTTATGGAGCATTCACTTAAGCTGTCTTGCTTGGCTTTGATTGAATCGCAGCTCCAGCAAACATCACGACTGACGCGGAGCACGAGGCATCCACTGCGGTTGTCTTGTCAAAATAGGATGTTGTACTTTCTTTTCTTTTTTTTTGCATTGTCTGTGACGGGGAAAATAAATAAATAATGTTTTTTAGGTTTTAGAACCAATGCATAATTTATTATGCATATTTAAAATGCTTTTTTGTTTTGCTTTTCTTTTTCAGAAGTGCCTAGCTGTCACTCTGTATATCTTAGACAAGAGGGATATCTGGCGCACAGTAACAGAACAGAGGGTAACTATCCACACAGAGTAATGTTTTTGATCGTATATTGCTGTCTTGTTCATTAATGTGTCATATTTAAACGTTTTATTAAATGTAAAACGTCTCAAGATTATAACAATTTCTTCTTTTTTGTTCCATAGGCTGCATGTTCGACAAAGTTGCAAGGCACTTCTATGACGACACTTGCGTAGTGCCGGAGAAGGCGGAGGGTATGTTATTTATCTTTTTAAAATATATCTTTCTTTTTAATAAACATAATTATGTGCCGAGTTCAATATTATTTCTTACTAAGTTGAATCTTTACTATACAGTCATTTATGGTCTTGTCTATGAGCCACTAGATACGTAACATAATGACAATCTAAAACGGCACCATTGGTCATTGATGTCTTGCATTGATGTCATATGATGTCATACACCGATTGGTCTGTGCAGCGCCACTTCAAGTCGAACACACCTAATGACTTTTTTATTTTCCGCCCACAGGTGACATAAAGCAGGAGGCGGGGCTGTACCGAGAAGGCCCAACCTATCAGAGACGGGGTTCGCTGCAGCTCTGGCAGTTTCTGGTCGCCCTACTGGATGACCCCTCAAACTCACACTTCATTGCGTGGACGGGCCGGGGCATGGAGTTTAAACTCATTGAGCCTGAGGAGGTACTAACTAGTGTAAACATAGTTTTCAAGATTGTATCTGTATGCGGCTTCTTGAACATTGCAGATAGTTGTGGAGCTTTAAAAGCGGTGTTGTGGTCGCATTCAGCAGGGAAAATAGATTTTATTTTTCTAAAAATGGAAAATAGAGGATAAACAGTTTATTTTAAATCCATTATGACATTAATATTTGAATTTAAAATAATTGAAATAATACATTTTAAATAACCCTGTAAAGCCTGTGATATATTTTTTTAATGCAACTGTTTATTTTGGTTTTAGACAAAATAGTAAAAAGGTTTGCTTGTTTGTTAAGTATCATATTTGATACATCAGGCTTTTATTGATTCTGTAGTATGTAATCTAATCCACTGAGATACTTATAATAGTATAGCAAACTACTAAGATGCATATAAATATCAGTCACTGATATGGGGGCAAAATGGATAATGCAATGCAATACAATGATGACTGAGAGATGTTCCTCAAGCCTGATGTATCATATTTTATACTATTAACATGATTTTTCAAAAAATTATGATTGAATAATCCAGTAAACCCAAGTTGCTTCAGTCCATTAAGTGTTCTTGAAATATTACTAAAAATATGAAAGTATACTTTACAGCAAAAAGACCTTTTTAGAGTTATATTAAAGGGATTTTTTGACATGCTAAAAAAGTAAAACCATCAATCAGACGACAGAAGGCCTTCGAATTTTGCATATAAAATATTATACAGTAGGCTTTATAAGGTTAAAGTAACTTTCCCAGACAGCAACATAGTGTCGGCCCAGATCCGGCCCACATCTGGTACACGTGGATTCCACACGTACCAAATGCTATCCGGATTAGGATATTATATATTGCTTATTTACATCACTATCTGATTATCTTTACTAAAATTAAAGTACTTCCACTTTATATGCAAATTTTGGAATCCTAGGGAGGCTCTTCATTTGTTTGTTCAAAACAGTCTGTCATGTCCATCCAAAAAACAAAATATTTCAACATGTTGACTCTCCAAAAAGTCCAGAGTTTGGAAAGCGTGGACAGAGGTGTGTTTGTGTAAAGTGTCTGCGACAGTGAGACTCGCTAGTCCTGTGTGTGTGTGTGTGCGTACTGGCGTTGGTCCACAGGGCAGCTGTAGGGAACAGGGCAGTCATTCATGCCATCAGGTGACTGGGACCGTTGGGATTGGCTGGGCGGGTGCAAGGCGTGAATGAGCCGCAGTAGAGTGAAAAAGGCCCACAGCGCCGGGCTCTGGGAGAGTGGTGGGAGGGGGATTTGAAAAGGAGGGGGGCACAGGTGGGGGGTCGTGTGGACAGGTGCAGGAACATCTGCCACGCTCTGCTGTTCCTAATGAACACATCTCTGACTAGAGGTATGGTACAAGGCTGTGGCCAATGGAAGATGCAGACCGACCAATGCTTTGTTCTTGAGTGGGTGTGATGTCTTATTGTTGCCTAATGTTTGAGAGAAACCTCTAAGCTCATTTGTAACAACTTACTCTCTTTGCTTCAAAGGTGGCACGACGCTGGGGAATTCAGAAGAATCGACCTGCAATGAACTACGACAAACTGAGCAGATCGTTGCGCTACTATTATGAAAAAGGGATCATGCAAAAGGTAATGCAGGCTAACAAGCTAAGCTGCATCTTCTGACACACTAAAGGTGTAGCTTAGCTACTTTCAAAAAACAAGCCTTTCGGCTTAAGTTGTCTTTTTTCATAATGAGCTACTTTTATATGCTAATGACTGTTGTAAAACTACTTTAATAAGAAAATTGAATGCTCAGCTACAATGCTAAAGTCTTGAAAGTTTGAATACTGTCATTTAAAGGATGCATTAAATTGATCAAAAGTGACAGTAAAGACATTTTATAATGTTAGAAAAGATTTATATTTCAAATAAATGCTGTACTGTTCGTCAAAGAATCCTGAAAAAAACAATAATAATATTTCTTGAGCACCAAATCATATTAGAATGATTTCTGAAGGATCATGTGACACTGAAGACTGGAGTAATGATGCTGAAAATACAGCTTTTTTGAACACATGAATAAATTACATTTTAAAAAGATATTAAAATTGAAAACTGTTATTTTAATTTGTAATCTGTATTTTTGATCAAATAAATGCAGCCTTGAGCGTAAGAAACTTCTTTCAAAGACATCTTTAAAAATCAATGTTTATTACAGTAGTGTAGTTATAACATTAAAGATATTTTAGGCAAATATAGGCATTTCTGGTCAACAATAAAACATAACAAGTTGGACTTTTTTAAAATAATTTTTGAATAATTATTACACATGCAATTTTTATGAGCTTATATTAATGGAAAACTTCAATGAATATTTTTTTTCTTTGAAAAATTATTTTGTCACACTGAAGGAGTATTTAAATGAGTAACTAAAAAGTTCAAATAAATGTACAAAAATATCTCAAATTATACTTTTTATGGATTAAAAGCATGACATTTGTCAACTGAACTTAATGATGATGAAAGTCATCATTAAAAAAGTGCAACCATCTACGTTTTCCTTGCGCCGTTGAGATATACAGTAATATTCTGGTTTCTTGATTCAAAGGTGGCAGGTGAAAGATATGTGTATAAGTTTGTCTGCGACCCCGAGGCTTTGTTCTCCATGGCTTTCCCTGACAATCAGCGTCCGGTGCTGAAGACTGACCTGGAGCGGCAGATCAACGAGGAAGACACCGTGCCGTTGTCACACTTCGACGAGAACATGGCGTACATTCAAGAGGGCGGCTACTGCAACCCGCACCCGTACAACGAGGGCTACGTCTACTGAAAACTGCTACAAGAACAGTCCGGCCGTTTCGACACAAAACAAACTTTCAGACTGTCCCTCATTTCCTTCAGTCATACCCCAGGACAAAAGAGAGCACTTTATGGACAGAGGACGATGGCAGTGTGTAAACCTACAAACTTACTGGTGTAGTTGCGTTAGATGCTCCTTTGGTGTTTTTTTGTTGCTATTGAAGGGGATGGGGTGTTTCAGCATGCCGTTTTCTCACAGCGGAAGACTCTCGAGGGCAAATGGCCTCTCTCCGGACAGATGTTTTGAACTATTTAGACAGGTTAGAGTCTGGAGCACGTGAGTGGAAAAATCCCAAACTCTTTTACCATTGAAACTCTTGGATTGTTTGTGGAGCGCTTTGTTATTTTTGCACATTTTCACGTTTGTTTTGTTTTTCTCTCCCTTGGTGTCAAACTGAGTAAATAATACAGTGTATTACTATGGAAATAAAATCCTTCAAACTCTCCATGTCAAAGTAAAATGAGCACATATCTGAACTGACCCGTATACTTCCTTTCTCGCCCATCCAGGATCCATAAAATAATTGAATACTTGCACAGTTACAACAAATTACAGATTTGTGTTATTTGTGAAGGGATATTATACTAGTATTCAAGTTATACCCATCCATTTATATATATATATTCTCATATGAATATAATGTCTTAGAGGAGGGAAGATGCAGGTAATTTTCTCAATGAACAAGATTTTTTTTCTTAACGAATTAAGACAAAAAAAAAACACGTTAGCATGATTTCATAATACTACAGTGCATGGTGATTCAAATACTGCAGTTTTTTTTAGATATATTTAATTAACCATCTGTATACTTCAGTATTTGACACCATATTTCACTGAATATGACTTTTTGGTCAAAAGCGCCTATAGATATCAAATAGTTATCTTCAGACAGGTCTTGTGCAAGATGCAAGCTTCACACGTGTCTGTGACATCATTCTATTAAAGTTACATTTCTACTATTAGAGTGACAAATAGCTTTTTTATTAGGAAAGAAATTGGATGTTGGTCCATTACTCGCTCCACCATGACATCTTTGAAAATATAAAACATGTATATTCAGGTTAATGCACCTCAATGCTGCTTTTCGTGTAAATTTAGTCACGTATGACCAGACGGCAGCTATGCCCTGCAGTACGTCCATTTTTTTTTCTTCATTCTTTTTTACATTTGAAAGACAAAAAGAAAAAAAAAACATCAGTGTTTATTGAATGTAAAAAATATATATACATAATTGCGAAGGGAATGGCAATAGCTACACTTCTGTAATAAAATAGTGTTGAAATACAATCGGGTTGTTTTTTTTTGTTCCTAAGTATAACATTGTAACTTATGTCAATCCTTGTCTCATATTTCAATGGCACAAACATTCAAGCAAATAAGTAGTGTTGTTCCCTAGTTTATGATTTCATTCAATTTCCAGATCCACAATAAAACTGACAGAAATAGAAGCTCTTACTTGAGATAGTTGTCTAATAACAGTGACTTTTTACTCTGTTGCTTGACAAATGCTTTATGGAAACTTGTTTTCTTTCCACCACAGAATAAAAAATAAAAAAGCTAATTGTGACTTTTTATCTCACAATTCAGTTTTTTCCCCCTCAGAATTGCGTGATATAAACTCACAATTATGAGAAAAAAAGTCAGAATTGTGTGATGTAAACTCGCAATTGCAAGAAAAAGTCAGAATTGTGTCTGATGTAAACTCGCAATTGCGAGGAAAAAAAGTCATAATTGCATGATATAAACTCGCAATTATGAGAAAAAAAGTCAGAATTGTGTGATGTAAACTCGCACTTGCAAGAAAAAGTCAGAATTGTGTGATGTAAACTCGCAATTGCAAGAAAAAGTCAGAATTGTGTCTGATGTAAACTCGCAATTGCGAGAAAAAAAAGTCATAATTGCATGATATAAACTCGCAATTATGAGAAAAAAAGTCAGAATTGTGTGATGTAAACTCGCACTTGCAAGAAAAAGTCAGAATTGTGTGATGTAAACTCGCAATTGCAAGAAAAAGTCAGAATTGTGTCTGATGTAAACTCGCAATTGCGAGGAAAAAAAGTCATAATTGCATGATATAAACTCGCAATTATGAGAAAAAAAGTCAGAATTGTGTGATGTAAACTCGCACTTGCAAGAAAAAGTCAGAATTGTGTGATGTAAACTCGCAATTGCAAGAAAAAGTCAGAATTGTGTCTGATGTAAACTCGCAATTGCGAGGAAAAAAAGTCATAATTGCATGATATAAACTCGCAATTATGAGAAAAAAAGTCAGAATTGTGTGATGTAAACTCGCACTTGCAAGAAAAAGTCAGAATTGTGTGATGTAAACTCGCAATTGCAAGAAAAAGTCAGAATTGTGTGATGTAAACTCGCAATTGCAAGAAAAAGTCAGAATTGTGTGATGTAAACTCGCAATTACAAGGAAAAAGTCATAATTGCATGATATAAACTCGCAATTATAAGAAAAAAAGTCAGAATTGTGTGATGTAAACTCGCAATTGCCAGAAAAAAAGTCAGAATTGTGAGATGAAAAAGTCGCTTTTATCTTTTAAAATTGTTTTATTCTGTGGCAGAAACAAGCTTCCGTACTTTATGCCGAACGTCACATGGACAAACAGGAAAACAGGTCTCATCGCATCCGCTTGTCGGAGGAGGAGTTAACAGCAATAAGAACTGATGGCAATCAATGGTAATCAGCTGGGGCCTCATTTATAATATGCCACTCTTCCAGATGTGAAATCCATAAATCACAAATGATCGTGAAATTTTGTGCAGCTGACAAGTCCATATCCTTTACTTACTTAGAATTGCTTAGATTTCCAAATACCCGCAGAACTCCGACTCTCTGCCTCAAGGAAAAGTGCATACGTCTGCTTAGAACTTGATGTGCCGATATGCAGTTTATTACGTCAAAGACCTTTTTTATAAATATGAACGTTGCCGTGGATTTTTGCATATGCACAATCAAATCTGTGTGTACGCAGATGAGGCCCTGAACCGGTAGCGCTGCGACCTGATTTACAGAATACGGAAGTTTGTCGTGAATAACTCGTACACTGTAAAAAAAACTAAATATATACATATATAGTGGTTTCAACTTAAAAAAGTGTTCGTGCTGCCTTAAAATGTTAAGTTTAGTCAACTCAAATATCCAAGTTGTCACTTTCAAGTTGACTAAACTTAACATTTTAATGCAGCATGATCACGTACTTTAAGTTGAAACAACTATTTTTTGTACAGTGTATTACATATCTATGGGTTGCAATGTAGTAAACATGCCGTCATCCTAGCACATGACCTTCTGTATGGTGGATCCCTTTCAGGGTTCAATTGCCACGTTGAAGGAGGCGCCATCACAGAAGATTTCGTCAAAATGCTGGCTACGGCAAGGTCAGTGTAATTTAGGGAAGCTTTTTCATGACTGTTACCATACTTATTTCATGGTTTTAATTCTGGAAGAATGTATATCAGCAATGACAAAAAAAAAGGTTTATTTATCTACAGTACATGGATAGTTCATTTGGCTACATTTTCTGTGCCTTTGTACTGAAACTTCACAAAAACGTACCATGATATATATTTAAAGTACCTCGGCATTACCAACATTTGTTTCAGTAATTTCAACAGAGTGGTGCAGAAAAACCGTCATCCTTAACACGTCTTTACAACAACACAATGGTAAACAAGCCAACAACTGTGTCCCATAATATCAAGCACACACTGGCCCAAAGCTGTGGTCACATTTGGCTGTTAAAACGACCGTCACGGTTACCAAAAAAGCACAAATGACTGTGGTTTATTCAAACATCTACCATTAAAATCTCATGCAAAACCTCACGGCGCTCGAAGTGTGTGGTGGAATGGTGAGGAAGTGCACTGAAAAGCGAGTTGAAAAGAGGTCAGGGGAAAAAAGGACCCGTGTAAGGTTGGATAATATCCGTGGTAATCTTGTTAAACAAGTCTTTCAATGGGGCTACAGATGTCCTCTTTCTGTTATCTTGAACACTGAATTGTTCTCAGCTCTATTTGAATACTCTACTACGCCTGAAATAGACAGTTTTTATTCATTTCAAAATGGTACCATGTGAGCATGCATGGAAAAACACAGATTATCTTTGCTGGTTTTATTGTTACCGCTTAGTTTGTGATCTGTGCCTCTACACATGTAACACCACAAGCCATTAAACCTCAAATCGTCTTCAACAAACCTTTTTACCACTTAGAAGCAATAAATCAGCCATCTTCTGCAAACAAATACTACTTAGAAGCTACTAGATCCATTAACATAGTAGCTCCAGGAGTTTAGCTTGATTCTGTCTGTTTGCTTAGTGTCCGGCTACCTTGCTTAGCTTTACGGCAGGCTGTGTTTACTTATGGGAAATGGTTTGTGTTGTCTGAGTGGTTGTGACACTCGCATGTTTGACAAGTGAAATGAGACCAAATGTGCTCCATGTAGCTGAAACGTCTTTGAAGCGGCGGCTTTTAATGTGACGTGTTTACCTATGAAAAAAATCCTTTATTGGCCCTCAGCCTTTAGCCATCAAAAGCCGTAGTGGTGAACATAAATCATTCACGAGGTAATTCAGGGGAACAACTGCATTGGAAAGGTGGACTGATAAAACGATGACCATTTAAACTGTTTACAGTCACGTAAAATAAACAGTAATTTGAAAAGTATTAACGCTTGAACAAATATTTAAGATGGCGAATGTATTTTGTGTTTCTGATATCTCATTCGCAACCCATTATAAGTGCAAAACTGAAGAAAAAAAATTGTATTAGGTGTCTTTATTTACTATTTACTTGCGTAAAACAAAACTAATGTATTACAAAACACTTTTGCTGCTATTTAGGTTGTGTACGGGTAAGGTTAGAGACCTTAAATCTGTAAATTAATTACAGATATAATAATATGCAGGTAACACTTCCTTTTACAGTGTCCTTGTTACATATACTTACCAGTAATAATAGTAAATTATGCATACTACATGCAACTAAATAAAGTGTAACTGGTATTTTTAAAAATATAAGTACATGAATGTACATAAAATTACATTTTTTGTAAAAAGTGGTTAAAGGTAATATGAAGTGGGGCCCATTTATAACTGGTGAAATTGTAAAAAAAAAAAAAAGTATTTTTAAATCATTTTGAAATGGTTACAGATTCCAGTTTTAAAAAAAAGACAATATGTTGTGGCACTTTTTCCATTGCACCTATCGCATGTACAGAAACACACTCTGAACATAGAGCAGATTTACACACCTTTGATAATGGTATGTAGCGAGATGATCAAAGATGGGGGTTGTTGCTGCTGACTCTGGAAAGGATCACGGTGTTGGAACAATAATTGATGCTGAGCAGAGGCTGAACTCAGGCATTGCCACCGGTTGACACCCATTACATTGTTCGGCGCTGCTCACTTTGCAGGTTCACGGCAGATAAAA